CCCACACGCACGCACTGGCCACCATCACTCTCCTCTCTCTCACACACATAAAAAGTCGGTGTATGTAACTTTACATAAGACATAGTCAATCATAGGGAAATGATAATAGTCGGCTTTCTGGAACACACAAGGAATGCTACCATGTGGCATGTTACATTTTCATTTCATTTACATTTGAAAACGTTTGTTGTTGTAGTATCCTTCATAATGAAACAACAACAACAGCGCCACATTTGTCTTTAGGGAGAGAGAGAGAGAGAGAGCAACAACAATGATAAACTCTCTCCCTTCTTCCCCAACACCCCAATTCGGTTGTCTCGTCAACAGGTTGTCTTGGTAGTACTACAATGACATCAAATTATGAAGCGTGGACTTGATGATGATGACGTCCCTTTGTGATCGGGAACAAATCCGAATACCCAGCGCTTAATGCTCCCGTTTATGGCTTCTCCTTCTACCAAACAGCACCATTCACCCCCACAACAACAAAAAGAAGCTCGACTGCTAGGCAGCCAAGACCTTTTAACTTATTACAACCTTATACCCATCTACGACAAATATGTCAGACCATACCCACCACCCGATCGAGGTGCTTCTCTTGATCAAACGCTTCAACCTTATACTGCCGACTTGCCTGGTAATCCTCCTCCTCCATTCACACTCGTCTCTCTCCATCCAAACTGATCCCATTCCATTTAGGCAAAACCACTGTTGAACCTGATGGCTTTTTATTCAATCTCTTACGCGATCCTCAAGTGCCAGAAAATGGTCCTCCCATCAAACCATTCGATGCTGATGTGCTACGTGAAGCCTACTCATTGAAGCCCGGTCCTATTCCTGGTGTAAGTGATACATCCTACTTGGGGCCTATCTATTATACGTGAACACTCAACAATGCATGTAGTTTGATGCATCTATTCTTGGTACCAATGATGGATCCTCTTCAGGAGCAAATACAGGTCAATATCTAAGTGCGGCGGATAAGGATGTCTATGGAACATCAGCAGGTAATGGAAGAAAAGGGGTCATTGTTTAGGATGACATGGAGACTAAGATGGACATAGGCGAGGGCGATACAAGTGGAGAGAAGAAGCACAAGAAAAAGGTAAGGCAATGGGGCAAATCACGTTGTTTTCTATCAGGTTGTATCCATGCATCCCTTCTTTTTTCCTATAGAAAAAGAAACGAAAACATAGTCATGAACATGAAGATGATGGCCATTCACACAGCGAGCACAAAAAGAAAAAGAAACGTAAAAAACAATCATCCGGTGATCAGCAAGAGCAAGCTCATCCAATGTAAATGTATCATTCTTCTTATTATCATCAATAAAGTATTTGCGATTTGGATATTCTTATACACTTTTATCATCATCATCATCCATAAAGTGGTGGGTATGTTTATACATATATGTATTGTTACAAAGGTATGCTATTGAGTGCTATTGTATCGTTGAGCAAGGGACTGCTTTTCTTCATCGGCTGTGGGATATCGTGAGGAAGAAGATGTACTCGTGGGTTGAGGAGGAGGAGGAATACGGAATCCACCGGCATCCACACGTTGTCGTTGTTGATATTGTTGTTGGAATTGAGCATATGGAATTTGAGGAGGTGCTTGACGTTGATGTCGAGATACTTGGCGATAAAGCTGGGAATAATTGTGTTGATAATAGTTGGGTGCTGTTGATGCTTGTGAATACATTGAGCCTGTTGGATATCTCCAGGGACCTGCAGGTTGACTCATGGATGGTTGTTGTTGTTGTGGAGACCCGTAGCCTGAAGGTTGTTGTTGTTGTTGTTGAAGTTCTTGATGCACAGGTTGGGGTGATTGACTATAAGCAAGTCCAAGCACATGTTGTGGAACGCTGCTTGCTCGAGAGGGTGGTTGAAGCTGTTGTGCGTTTTCTTCTTCGGATTCATCCAAATATTTATCTTGACTAGGACGCGTTTCCATGACAGGTGCTGAAGGCGTTTCATCCTCTGGTTGTTGTTGTTCGGGAGCTGGAGATGCATTATCAGTCAAAGTAACGGGTGTATGAGGTCGATCATGAGCCAAAGGGTGTTTGTTGGCAATCGTCGGATCAATCACTGGTGGTTCATCGGAGTTCATTGGTGAATAAGGTACATCCTCTTCAGTAGCCGTGTAAGCAGGTGGAGGTCCATAAAGATCCAATTGATCATAATCAATGTCCTTTTCATCACCCGTCTTCAAGTCACCGGTCGTAGCACCAATAGCTGCTGCTCTTTCGGATGCAGCTTCAGCAGCCTTGCTATTGTTTTCTCGTGGTGGTAATTCAGGTGCCGGTGATGATGATGATGCTGCTGTTGTTGTTGCTAATCCTCCTGCAGCTGCAGCTGCAGCAGATGATGATGATGATGCTCCTCCTTCATCTTCGCCATGAGGTGGCAATGATATCGAACTTTCATCTCCTGTTGTAGCCAATCCTTCTGCCAAAGTAGGTCTTTCCAAGCCTTCAGCAGGCTCCCATGTTTCCAATGCCATCAACGCATCCGCCAAAATTTGTGCAGCTTGTTGACCCTTGTCGTAAGGACGTCGATGTTCTTCTCCTGCTGGTGTAGGTTCAATATCCACAAGATCCACAATGTATTTGCCAAATCCAGCAATGATAGCTTGCTTCTCGGCCATTTCATGCATGGCATTGAATCGTAAATAGAACGCTTCACGCAAAGCGAATCGCTTGAAATCGCTCATCTCCATCTCAATATCATGCGTGTCCTTTTCCAATGACTTGAGTTCCCGGGTGAATTCACGCAGCTTGGGTGATTTGGAATTGGATCGATTCAGCGTACCAATACGTCCTTGCAAGGCCCGTTTCTTCTCACGAATATCAGTCAAACGATCCTCACGTTCACGAATAGCTTTGATAGCGCGTCGATATTGCTGGTATTTTGCTGTAATAGATAAAGATCAATCTTTTGGTCATACTTGAATCGTGTTGCTGTGTACGTTACCTGCATACGCTTCTTCGATCTCTGTTTGCTTACGCAACAAGATAAGAAGCTTGTTCCCAATATCCTATTCGCGTATATCGTCATAAGTAACATGCCCCTGTTTTCGCGTCTAATCATTCACCTACCTCCAAGTCCTTGTTTTCCTTTGCCTTTTCGCCTGAACACTCTTCTCTGATCCAAGCCTCCATAGCCTTGTTGGTCTCCGAGTGATGGTAGGCAAGCATACGCATGACATACAACTCATTACGTTCTTCGAAAATCCACTGGGAAAGCGTCTTGGTGTCTTGTTTTTGTAAGGGGTTTTTGCGTGCCAAGTGAGAATAGGCCTCATTGGTGAGTTTGCCGAGAGAGAATTGCAGGTCTTTGAAATTCATGGTCGTTGCAAGGAAATGCAGTTGTGTGTCAACGGGAAGAAGAAGCAGCTGCAGCAGCAAGCAAGTGATGATCGGGCTTATAGCTTTCGTGTTGCCAAGCATTACCCTTTTCGGACACGATACCGACCTAATTTATTTTTATCCATTTGACATCATCTTCATTATGCTGCTTATCATCCATACCCATCGCATCGAACAAGCCAAAGTAGTAGCACATGTAGGGATGACAGTGATCAATAAACACCATCATTGTTTTCCTTATTTCAAATGACTCGGCTATTACGGATCTCTATTATACATACATACATCATGGCTCAATCAAGAAATGAAGTACAAAGAGATGCTCATGGTGGATGTACCTTGAAACAATGAGGCCCGGGGATCCAATTTGACAATGCATGATGCTTTTCAGGTTCCTCCATTCATGCTGTTGTTTATACACCTTCATATTAATCAAAGCATGCTCTCATGAAGAAGGCTTTATACCAATATCAACTTGCTGGTCTTTATTCGCTTACAGCTGATTCTACAGCAGGTTCAACGACCTTTTTCTTCTCCTCCTCATTATCACTAGACGACTCCTCGTTTGGTGAATCATCACTGCTGCTGCTGCTGCTGCTGCTGCTTTCCTTCGTATCACCATCGGCTGCCGGTGCTTGTTGATCCAATTGTTGTTGAAATTCGGGTGGGACAAATGCACCACGTTCACCCCCTGCAAAATACTTGGACCAAGGATTCTGCACAATCATGAATGGCACCGATTCATACACACAATGGGTTGAAGTTCCCTTATCAAGCATTGTTGGTAAGCATCTCTCTCTTACTAATTCAAAACCTGGACATACTTACTGGATAATTGACCATGATACGATAATGATAGTAGCCTGTCACGTCTTCGATATGAAGAGGGAACATCACCTCGCCTCGGTTACCATTCGTATATAGATCTAATAGAAGAATACGTAGACGTCTTAGCAAATGGTATCCATGCAAGTCTACTTCAATAACACACTTACTGATGTTTTGTCCAATGACGTATTGGTTGTGCTGGGTGCTGTTGAGAATGCGAATACGTGTAATGATATCAGGGGAATGGGGAATGCCAGCATCCAATTCCCATTTTAATTCTTGAACAGAGCCCGCTTCGAATACGAGACCAGGGAAAGTGGGGTACGTGATACGGAAGCCAACACAATAATCGGGATTGACACGTGGCGGGTTGTATCCATATTGCATGAGCGCTTCACCAATCTCTTCTCGTGGTTCGATCACATTAGCCCATGCTAGAGAACCCAGTAGACTGGTCAACATGAAACAAAAAATACTGGCACGCATCGTAAGATAATGATAATAACGTCGTCGTGTTGTCAAAAGTTTATCATGCCAGTCGGCCTAATGTTTATAAAGCTTGATGATTGCATTTACAACTACGAGTGCCGCGTTTTGCAATTTCTCGTTCCACTGTCATGTTGGACCATCTTTAAACGAGAGCATAAAGTACATCACATACCGCACTTGTCCTGGTCTTTAATATGAACATTTCCTTGTAGACATGCTCTTGATGCATGATTTTCTGCATTGTTGTGCAAGTACCTGGTTTTGATATTATCCCTGCAACCTCCCCCTATGTGAATGTACACATTGACAACAAGCATTTATCGAGAATGTATTTATACTCAAAAACTTGGCTAACGACGATGATGCGCTGTGATTGCGATCCTAGAAGTCATAGGAGGGAAGTTTAGAGTCACTCGAATTGAGGAGGTTCATTTATGACCTCCCTCTCTTTGACTTTTGGGTGCATTGCTCTCACAAAGATACCATACTGGCTTATCCCAATCACGGCCTTACATAAGATCACGCTTCATAAGATGCATGTTCAAGCTTGAAACTGCTCCTCAATAAGCGTTGTGGAGGAGATGGTTTCTTCACGTTAGTAAAATGCTTGCGATCTTTAAGGTAATCACACCAACAGCCATGAGCTCTTAATATCTACAAGCGATTTGAGCTTATGAACCATTACCTTTGCATCAAGATCAAGCTGATCACTCAATGGTTGCCAGCATTCATTTTAATAAGACTACGCACGAATCATTGGATCCAAAAGATCTTTATCAAGATAGGTTAAACCACGTCTTTGTGGTGGTATGTAGCACACCCGCAGCAAACTACTAGGATACCCTTGTTGTTGTTGACCAAAGAAGCAATAAGCAATAGGCGTCTCCCTTTATGGCTTGTCATGTTCATTTGCCCTATTGTCCAACATCATATCATCGGCCAATTCGGCTATATTTGGCATGCACAGCCTCGTCGATCCCTTTTAACATGTTCCTGGGATTCGAATGTATCGGATCGAGGCATGCAATTTTGTATGACAACCTTCTAGAAAGTGTAGCGACCCATCGCTGAGTATAGGTTTGGGTCATGGCATGCCTTTCTTAATATGGTGAGCAGCCACATTTGCATCTGCCGAGTAGAATGCAGATTGAGATGTACCAACCCAGAATGGTAAATAAAGACTCGGGCGCAGTGCAGATCAATTTATGGTCCTCTTGACAGATCAGCGTCCTCTTACACAATAATTCGAAGCGGTAAGGAGCCGTTTTCATTTTTAATTTCAAAGTCGCACAAGATCTACTCACTACCACTACTGCATGTATAAAAGCTATCATCGCCTTTTGTTTTCTCTCTCTCTTTCTCGTCGTTTTCATTACATCTCGATTCATCACATTCCTTTTTGTTTGACTTCTTCGGTGTTGTTGTTGTTGTTGCATTACACTCATTTTCTTTTTGGGACATCATCATGACCACCAAAGATCGTTTAGAAAAGGTCGAATTGTTTGACCGTGACCCATCCACTTCATCTTATGGTAAGACAACAACAGCGATCATACACCATGGATGATGAAGCATTTCTAATACTATTCGCTTTAGCCCGCAGCGACGTTAAAAACTCCAAAGCAAGCTCAGCGAGCCGTGCTAGTGTATACATCGTACCTGCATTTAGCTTTGCAGTGAGCTGTGCCTTGATTGGTATTGCTATCTACGTTTACGAAACGGCCAATGGTCAATCTTCGAATTATACCATGGCCAATATGCGTGTGCCCACTGTCATTTCTTTGTTGATGACCATTGCTAATGTTTTCATGATGGGTGGTATTACACGGTGAGTATGCAGTAAATCTTTTAAAAGGCATTCCACCAACTCACATGTTTTCGTTTCAAAAGCGCTATTTCCGAATACAAATGGGTGACATTGCAAAACGATGGCGGTAGACTTTCCATGATTGATGTATATGATGCATGCACACGAGGGTGAGTTTTGAGTGATTCATCCATGTTTTTTATTTCTAATGATGGCTGTTGTTGTATGTACATAGCATTGGTGATATTGCCAAGGTGGTGACTTCGTTGCGTTTTGATATGGTGATCATTCCTGCCATCTTGCTACAACTTGGATTGATGGCAGTGGGTCCTGCATCACAAGAAATCCTTACGCATGCCAATATTGAAACCTGTGACAATCAAACTGGTATCTACTATTCCAATGTTACGGGTGCTGATCTTGCCAACCTTGCCTCAACGGGTGATATTGGATCGCTTACGGGCTTAAAGCAAGACTACTTGGTGCGTACGGCGTTTTCACAATCGGCCTTGGGTTTTATGGCACAGCCATTTTACGAGTGCAAGGTTGGATCTTTGAACTGCACATTTGATGACATTGAACTCTTTTCGACGACATTTGAATGCAAAGAAGGATCACTCAATACTGAGATTGTCAACGTTGCCACCAACAAAGTCACCACGCTGGGCGATTACTATGGCTTTAACAAAACCGATTCCATCTTTGGCCCTATGGTGGATGTGCCTAGCACTTTTTATGCAGGATCCATGCAGGGTCGTACCTATTTTGATCTCTACAATCGCACGGACAACACCTCTTCCATCAGCACTTATGATCCCTCATTGCGACAATTATTCGGTGACCAAACGGTGGTCTTTGTCTTGAACGAAAATGCCACTTTTGGTGTCTATATCGAAAACAATGCTATACCTCAAGTGCGCGAATGTACGCTCCGCAGCAATTACAACGTCTCATCCCTTGTTCACAAGGCCGATAAACTCAAATTCTACAAGTCAGAGACACGACCTTTGAATCTTGATTACGATTTATTGTCCAACAACACGTATTGGTCATCTGAATTATGGCCGAATCGTCTCCCACTCAATGCCTATGCCCTACAATTGACGGTGATGCGATTTTTGTGTGACCAAAAGTCATTCAAGAGAATCATTGGCGATTGGTATACTTATAGCCAAAACCCCAACGACACCAATCCTCTTGAGAGCTTTTTGAGACAATCGCTACAAAATGTTGATTTATCGCTTACGTTCTCGCTTCCTTATAGCCCTATCTTTTCCATGAAGGGGCAACGGTGTTACATCTCGGACAACGTGTACATGATCAACCCTGCAGCGTACTATGCGGTCACCTTGTCATTGCTGATACCTCTGCTTTGGTGGGCCACCGTATGGGTGATCAGCTTACGCCACACAAACGGCGTGTCACGTGGCAACTCGCAAATCGCCCTTTTGGTCACTGGATTGACACAATCGATCCGACAGCAGTTTCAAGGCATGTCACATGCTGGTCATAATGAGCTTTTTGAAAAGGCAAATGACATCCAAGTCGTCTTTGGCGAAACAAGAACGGCTGATGCTACTGCTGAAGGTCGTATAGGTCATGTTGCCTTTGGCGCGGTGGGCGAAATTGATCCCATTCATCGTTCACGACGTCGCATGTCCATGTAGAATTAGTAAATTTCAATCATCCATTCATGTATATCATTCATTTCAAGTAATTCATAATATAGTATATTTGTGAAAGGTATCAATGTTAATGGAAAGAAGAAGGGGATATCAATGCACGCTTTTCATCGGTCAATGAAAGCGTCAAACTATGTTTTGAATGGGATGATGGGGCAAACAGTGTTTTTTCAAGCTCATTGTTCTTCTTCCCATGATCGCCAGCAGAGCCACTCAAATGGGCTGCACGTGGTTCATCAATTTGTAGAGGAATGCTGATGAAGTCTTTGGAGTGATATTGTAGTTTTGAAAAGCATGCGTTGCCATGGTGATCGGTGAAACGGTGATCGTCAATTTCAATGAGAATGACCTAGGAGCCATCATGTTGTTGTCAGTGAGATGAATCCATACGACGTACATGGAGTAAAACACCTACATAGCAGGAGGACGAAGACATGCCAACATCAGGATGGTATCTGCCAACATTGTTTCGTTTGCCAAATCGGTAATGGATGCCTCGCGTATTCTCAGTTGCATTGATTGTATTACATGCATGTAGAACGGCACGTTCAAACTACAAGAGAAAAAGTCACATCATCATCATCATCATCAGCTGATGGATCGATCTAGAAGTAATGCTCATACCCTAACACGTATAACACGGCAATGCCAATACAATGAAACGGCTGAAGCGACCATGAGGAATGGAGCCAAGAGGATCACAGGCAAAGTGAGATCGTCGTGATGGTGCCGTTTCAAGGTTTCGGTGAGTGCATACACTGCCAAAGCAATAAGGGCCCATGCAATCCACAATCCACTGAGACACGTGGCTTTGTTTCCTGGACGACGATGATGGGCAATTGCATTGTTGATCTGATGCATGGCCATGCGGAAATCTTGCATTGATAGCTACATAATATTTATAGAGTCAGATCCATCGTGCATGCATCATTTTGATTGTACTACTACACCACAAACGTAAACAACACGTACATAGCCTTGAAGTTCAAAAGTGTATTGCTCGTCAAATCGATTGTTGATAAAGCCTATTTGAACAGTCTTCATGCTGGAGGATGTTGGTGAATGGCTGATGATGCTAAGTTGTAAGGAATGGTGATGGGCTTGGGTTTCAAGAAAACGAGTGTAATGGGGATTTCAGTGAAAGCGATAATACAGCGTGCGGTGCAAGTGTGGGGCTGAAGATTGAACAAAGAGCTATGTAGCTGCTTGGTCTATATATAACGTAAATGGGGTAAGCGAGAAAAGGAGGTGATCATCGACTCTAGGTAGAAAGGGAGGCTTCATTGTAAAAGAATGAAAAAGGAGCATTCAAACTTAATACTTCGTAGTCGTTGATAAGAACAATGAGTGCCTTTAGAAGTAACAAGTGTCATGTTGTGTAGCTTCCATAATCCAACTACTGCCTTGGGCTTTCGATTCTCGCACCAAAACTTGAAGTTTTCTTAATCCAACAAAGGACATCCCGTATGATAACAGCAACGGTCAAATACAACTGCCAGAGAAGACTAAGGTATGTTACAACATCCATTGCAAAAGACATTGAGATGGTGGGTATAGGTGACTACGACGACTGATAATAATAATACTGATGATAGTGGTGGTGGTGGTGGTGTCATTAAGATGATAATAAAGCGGGAGGTGCACTTTTGCGGGAGGATACAATGGGATCAAGACGAAAGATGTATTGAACGCAATCGTTGCTTGGGTCGGTCATGGCGCCGAATATAAAGGGTACCTTGGATCGATAAAGATGATGGGACGTGAGGCATTTGATGTTCTTTCCTCGTATCACTTGCACAAGCTCGCCCTGAATATAGCAAGATGAGCATTCTACGGAGCTTCCCATCAGCTGGAAACCAAACAAGGAAATAGGAATTTACCGTAAAAATGTCACGGATCTCGATGAAATTAGGTTCAAAGGCCAAAAGGTATGGATAGCTGAAAATAAACGATTCAGGTGTCCCTTTCCACTCGATCAAAAACTCGGGTCGTGCACGATTTCCTTGGCCATCAATGTAGAATGCGAATTCTAAACGTGTGGATTTAGCTTACTACTATGACGACATCATGATGTGCCCCCACCCCACCAGCTAAAAACTAACCATCGTAGCATACAATGTGTTGTGCATCGGGTGTACGAAAGAAATTGATACGTTTTGGTATTGTTCTTAGTTGATCTCTTTCACGAATAGTAATGAAGGATAATAAAGGATCATTGTAATTCAACAAACCTAAACATGTCACGCCGCATAATCAGCCATCCATATGTGTGTAGTAGTAGTGGTATGTACAAGTGTTGGACTTACTCATGGGCATGATACTTTTGGGGTCGCGTATACTGAGAATGATAATGCCGCGTGGTGTGGTGACAAACATCTTGGTATTCGACAATTCAATATCCCATATCTCGCTTGGCACATGATACTCGCCAAATTTCTTCAAAGGTAGATCCAAAGGATTAGGTACACGACCTGCCCGTTTCTGCTTTTTGCTGTAGTCTTCCAATTTTTGTGGCTCGTAGACGACGATGCGTGAGGAAAAAGTGCCCTTTGGGATGCACACCAACGTTGTTCCAAGACAATGACCCACATGAAAGAAAGGAACAGAGGATTGGATTTGCTTTCGGCGCTTATCGCATCCAACGCTATTGTTCACCACCTGCAAAGCATATTCCCAAAGGGTCCGATCCGCCAACACCAGTAGCTTTTGTGCCCCTTCCAAGACCTCAATTTGTGATACGCGTTCCACAGCCAGGATTTTGTGTGAGACACTTGCTGGTTCATTATGACCCACAAAGACACCGGCGCTGGTTGCCAGAACGTATTGACGGCCATCATCTACATGCATACATACATACATCTATGTGTCAGTTTTCTTCCATTCCCCACAATGATGCAACATACTAAACGTAACCATATGGTTGGCCTTGTCGGTGATGTAGATTTCGGATTCCTTAATAGCTGGGATAGAGTTGAAAACAGCTGTAGATCGGATCATGGATGATTGGAGCTCGTGGATCTTATCAAGCCATGGTTTACGTGCAGGGGCTGAAGGTGAGAAGAGCGTAAAACTTCCGGATCCTCGACGACCCATATGATGGAACGTAATTGGATACGCGTGTTGATTGGCATAGGTCTTTAGGCTTGAATGGCGTCGATACATGGCACTGGGACGATGATTGATGATAGGATGATGAGCCATGTGAGGTCCAATGCTTGCAGCTATACCACCAGGTAAAACGGGTAAAACGGGTGCTGCAGGCTGTTTTGGTTCGGTCGTTGATACACTGAGCCATATGATAGATATAGGCTAATCATCCTCATCATGGTCAGCTACATGGTTGCCATGGCAACAACAACAATCCACTTACACGACGTTGGATAATATAATGTGGTACTCCATGTTGCACCTTGATTCGAGCAATCAATAAATAATTGTCCAAAAGGATCACTTGGTATTCTGTGGAACCAGGATTGGGAGATTTGGTGAGTCGATCCTCTTTGACAATCCTGCGTTCGGGATCAAGGAGATGGAGATCCTAGTAATACGATGATTTTAGTATGCATGATGATGATGATGATGATGCTCATTTGTTCACTTTACCACTTTATCTACTGGGTTCTTGAAACGAAGATGGGCATTGATCCTTTGCAAGTCGAATCGATTCTTGCTCTCTCCTGTTCTTGTATTCATTCTCCAAAGCGTGCTGCGTATACGTGCCAAGGCTTTTGGGATGGTGACTTGATCTGGGTGATCGCATGGTGTGTATTTGAGGATCTCGTCAAGGAGCAGCGTGTATCGTCCTAGCCGTGTTGTGGGTTGGGATAAATAGCCATTCAGTTGTAATCTTCGAGACGCTGGGTGATCTTCAGTTGCCTGGTTAAATCACATGGGGATGATCATGGTTATTTTTGGTGTACCAAACATACATGGCGTTTCACACAAACACATACCACAACAAAATTAGAGAAAGCTATGTTTGTCATTCGCTCATGCTCCAAGATAAATCTGGCTTGATATCGACTTGCTCCATAATCAACAAAGAGATCAAAATAGTCTGCGAATTCCAATACGATATCACCGATCTCTTCCACGATGCATCGTTCTCGTTGTCGATCTTGAAGTGAAGCAAGGAATTGGACATGCACTTGATAAATGGCCATGATATTGGAGAATACATTTTGGATGAAGGTATGCCGCCTGCCATAATCCGGAATGATAGATTCGGAATGACTGAGAGGTTCAATCCACATCTATTATAGTAGGGGGACAAAGAAGCTATTTAGGAAATGAAACGAGCAACAGAGCATATTTATAGTACAATGACTTGCCTCATTCACATATTCCATGGTGCGAACAAAGTTATCCTCGGTGAAAATCAGCTCAAAAATGGCCTCTTGACGCTTCCATTCAGCGGTTGATATCGATTGTCGAACATGGGGGTCCACAGTGTCAATCCATAGTTCACGTGGTCGTTGATATTGAAGTGAGCTGGCAGAAAGAGAGGATCGTTCCAAATTTGAACTATTCTGATCCCGTTCTTGTCGCTTTAAAGGGGGTTGCTTAGTATCCAGAGTCAAAGAGCATCGGTAATCTACTTACTGTGAGAGCTAGGCGTTTTGGACATAGATAGCTGTAGCAAGGTGATTCATCAAACATGCATGCTGGAGTATAGCAACGTGTCAAATCAACGAATACGCCGCTAGGAAAGTCATAGTTGGTTGCTGCTGTTGCTTCAATACCACCATGATCATCAAATAAACCTGTTGTTGTTGTTGCTTCATCATAGAATGGATCATCAGTTGTTGTGGGTGTTGGAGTTCGTGTAGTAGTAGCGGGTGGTATTTCAGGTGATTCGCTGTCTCGAGTATTCGTTGGCACAAGAACTCGATCGTTGAATTGATAGATTTCTGAAGGGGAATCAACCAAGTGCCGCTCATACGCCACATCGTGAAATAAATGCTGACTGTCAAGTGCTCGGCCCACTCGTACCGCCAAGTGCCGATCTTTTGAACAAATGATAGCAAGGATCTTATCCTACAATGATAATAAACTCCCAAAGTTAGCATACAAAAGGATCCAGAATACCATCATGATCGATTCCATACAACACCATCTTGTCCAGTGAACGTATTTTTGTATTCGATCCCATCCTTTTCACGATCATTGAGGATGATACGCCGTCTCAGCTCATTCGCCACATAAGAAAGTAGCCCTGGATACGCATTGATGCCATATGTATTCGATGGTTGCGAGGATGAAGATGAAGTTGTTGTAGTATCAGGTTCAGGTTGTTGACCCCTGAGGAACGAGTTGGAAGGTTGTTGCATATCGGTGCGAGAACAAGGAGGTGTCGGCATAGCAAAAGAGCTGCTGCTGCGTGACGATGACCCATTGTGCTTACTGTTGCGCACACGATGCTGCAATGATGTCGTAGAGTGATGAGAACAGTTCGAGTTCGAGGAATGGTGGTCATTGGAAGGTGTTGGGTTGAAGCATCTTGAAAGTCGAGGAGGTGTTACAGGGAAGACCTGGCGGCGTAGGTTGGTCATGCTCGGCAAGATATATCCCGAAAATGTACACCTGTAAATGATCTATACAAGTTGTAGTAGTAGGACAACAGCAATAATAGAAATAATAAGTAGTAATGGATGAGAAGAAGAAAAAGAAAGAAAAAAATGCATGTGTGCGTGTGTGTATGTGTGTGTGCTTGTCTCAGCCTCGTCGTCGTCGTCGTCAGCAGCAGCAGCAGCAGCAACATGCAAACAGTCTATGCACCTTATTATGCATCTCTCTCTCTCTCCCAAAATCATCCTTCCACCAATCACTTGTTTGTTACCCAATAACATTCCCACTTTTGTATTCACCCCATTATAATGCGCACGAGCCACCACCTGATCACTTGTTTTGGTTTTCATCCAAAGCCGTCAGCTTTTTATATATTCAAATGTAAAAACTCGAACAATTTACTGTTCACCAGCAGCAGTCTTGGCTTCAGCACGTTGCTTGCGACGTTCACGGAGAGCCTTGTTCTTAGCACGGAGGACTTCAGCTTGTTCAGCGAGAGTCTTGGCTCTAAGCTTCTCGGCCTTGGCCTTGTGAATGTGTTCCATCAAGACACGCTTGTTCTTGAAACCGTTACCCTTGGCCTTGAGGTAGAGGGAGTGGTACAAGTGCTTGTCGATCTTGCCAGATTCACGATACTTGCGCAAAAGACGACGAAGAACACGCATGCGACGCATCCAGAGGACTTGTTGGGACATACGAGCATTGGCAGTACCCTTACGCTTACCAAGACCCATGTGACGACCAAGACGCTTAGCAGCAGCACGCTCACGGACACGGAAACGAGATTGGCTAATTTCGGGCTTGCGAATGATCAAACCATCCTTGACAAGCTTACGGATGTTGGCACCTGCATCATATAGGGTGTTGGTCATTGTACACTCTTCCATTTTCATATCGCGTATCCACACTTACGGGAGTTGGCGTTGGAGATCTCGTTGACTTCATTGGGATCAAGCCAAATCTTTCTCTTGCCGCAGTTGAGAACGGAAGCGGCCAAACGTTTCTGGTTACGCAGGTTGACCCTACAACAGAGAGAGAAAGATCCATATTCGTGTTATTAAAATGCTGATATAGATACTCGATAATAGATGCACAATCAAATGCTGCCGTTTTCAGGGCTCGTTCTCTTTGTCTGGGTCCACTGCTGCGGTTCTTTTTGTCATCAGGTCGACTGCCAAATGTCACCCATTACCGTCAACCAAAAAAGCAACAATGGACGTCATACATGTTGGAGCTCATTGAACAGTAGCCGCGTAGGTTGTGTTGTGGAAATGGGATAAAATGACAACTCACATGGCGTCAATACAGTCAGGAAAAGAGGAGGAAAAAACACCTTTACCCGAAGCCAATGATAAAATATTTTCTCAGCGTGACGTAGAAACAAGCCACTTCTTACACACTTTCCAACATACTCTTTGTCAGATAATCGACTCCATTGTCCGCAACAAACTCTGATCCATTGTAATAGTTTAGTAGATAGCCATTATCATTAAAGAAGTATTCATACTTGAAGCATCATACCTTGTCAATGATACTAAAAGCATCTATGTTGGTGGACCTTGTTACAATTTAATTTGATCCGTTGATGAGCTGCAGAGCACACACACATATACATGTATACACATTCATGCTCCCCCATCACACATGAGCATGTCACGTTTTGATTCAGAGCATGTCCTTTGTCACTTCCATAATTGCATGTTTATGCAGGAGCTTTTGATAAAAAAGACTCTGTGACACATCACACTTTCAGGGAAATGTTTGCAGCAGCAGCAGCAGCAGCAACAACAACAATAGAGTTTGTCACACAAAACTTTAGACTGATTTGTATGCCGCATTATTGTCAACTCTTCTGGTAAAAGTATTCACGCGATCCCTATAGAGTAGATAGGATGCATGGATACTGCAAGGACTCACATTGGATGAAGCACAACAGCAAGCAGGTGGTTTTGCAATAGAGGGGTGTGAGGAGAGATGCTCTAAATGCACTTGCATTATCCATCAACCACCATACAATGTGAGCCCATTTGTAGTAGTTAGGCATAAACGGTAACCATGGCAACATAACATTCATGTCACCATGGCGACCCAAAAAATTTATCTGAGTACCACGCCGAGCGCGTGCATGTATACACTAAAGCCAACTATAACGTGACCAAGGATTACATACGGCTCGTTCATGCCCATAGAGAGGATAAAAGATGGTGGGCTACTGGTTGCTATCATGAATAAGCCTAAAGGTATATAGACAAGTGATTTCTTCCATAATGCAATGCATCCGTCCTCTTCCAGTAAACCTCCCAATGTTAATTGATGATGCTAGCTTACTTTATTCATGCAATAGGATAAGCTATGAGAAGATGTAGAATGCAGTAGTAGATATGTACATATACGAATCAACGTTAAGATAAAGATAGAGGTGTGGATGGTATTCAAGAGAGATTGGCATTCCCATTTCCATTCTCCAATGGCAAACCTTCGCCCATATATTCCACAACATTGCTTTCCGTTTCATGAATCTTGACTTTGTATAACCGTGCGTTGGTGGAATGCCTGGCTGGATGATTACGGAAATGATGGTCGAAATTTAGCCAAACGAAGACAGCCAGATTCTCGGTTGTGCTAAATGACATTAAGGTAAGCACACGAACAAACCCTCCAATAGTAGGATGATCATTCATTTACCTTGGCCTTTTATAAAAGTACTCCACATCACAATCCTACATCATGGGATGTATGTTATTCATAAGCAAACCTACCCTGCAATATCATACGTACCAAATTCTTATGGTCAAGAACGTCCATGATAGACGACTTTATGCAGTCCTTGAGATCTGTTAGATTCATAACCATGCCAGTGTCGGGATTCACCTCGCCCTTGATGGTGATTTCCACTATGGGGATTGCAATACAAGTTAATGTTGGTAGCCATTGGGGATCGGGTGTATGCTGGAAGGAAAGGAACCTTTATAGTTATGGCCGTGAAAGTTTGGATGATTGCATTTTCCATAAAGTGCCTTGTTTTCATCATCTGTCAAGTGTGGAGAGTGTAATCGATGTGCAGCTGAAAATGAAGCTATGCGTGTCAGGTACGTTATGGGTGCCATGTTGGCGGCGGTGGTATAATAGAGAGGGAAGAACAACAACGAACAACGCTGCAGCAGCTGCAATATCCTGGTTTCAACCGCGTGCGAAAAACAATTGAATTCCAGCAACAACAACAACGACTCACGGTCAGCTATCCGGCAATGCCGAGCAGCGGGAAAACGAAATGAACTAAATGTTTGTTTTTTGGGTTCTAAATGTAATGGATGATTTTGTTTATTGACTTATGATTGTTGTTGTTGTTGAGCCTTAGCCTTCTTGCATGCAATCTTATGTCCTGCCTTATAATCGGTAACTTGACATTCACGGCTACAGTACCAGATACTCTTGCATCCACCACAGCAAAGCAAACCCTTGTCAGGTTGATCCTTCAAATGCTTGGCACCACAATTCGAGCAGTTGTCAGGGCTTGGAGCATAGGGCGAATTAAGGATACCAGCTTGGATGAGCTGCTCAATCTTGTTGTTGTATTGCTTAGCTGGCATAGCATTCACAATGATCTGACGAGCGTCCTCAGGGGTCTCATGGATTTGAATAGCTTGGCGCTTGATGTCACTCATACCAGTGTTGGTACCATACAACGACTTGAATCGTGCTTCAGCATCACGTGCCTTTTTATAATACTTGCGGGAGTCGGCCTTTTTGTTCTTTTCATTGAAGAGGATTGACAAGGAATAGAGCGAGTTGATATAGTCTGCGGTATCAGGATGGCCACGCTCAATGTATGCTCTGAATGACTTGATGGCATTCTCACGGTCCTTAAGGTTCATGTAGATCGATCCCTGAACACTGTATGCCACATTGAAACCAGGTTCCTTTTGCAAGCAGCGTTCCAAGTCCTTCAAACCAATTCTATTATTAAAGAAAAAGGTATTAGCTTCATGCTTTGTTTGCTTGAATCACCATGATAGATGTATGTACCTGAGTTTGCCAATGGAAAAGTAGCACGATGCACGAAGGAAATAGACGCGAGCGGGCAAGTCATCATAGCTATCGATGGCAAGGCTAAGGGTAGTCAAGCTATAAAACAAAAATCCTATATGAGTATCCATGACGATCTTCGTATGTAATCCCCATAGCAACCATTACCAGTGTTGATATTGTCGTCCAACCATGAGGATCCAAGCAGAGAATAACAAGCTTTGTTTGATGAAGAAACCTTCACGTTGCTCTTCGGGAATATTCTTCAACAAGACCTTTTCATATTGTTGACCAAGGATAAGCACACGCTCTGACATTGGTGCAGCCTTGTCATCCAGCATCCAGGCATCAACAAGAGTTTCGGCAGCGGTCTTGATGTCCTCCTCATACTGTGCCAGGGAATCGTCCTCCAAGGTACGTGGGATGGTCATGGCCAAGTCATAGCCCTTACGGAACATTTCCTTGGCTTTCTTATAACGCTTGACATCAGGATCCGAGGTCTCAGAGGACTTGCCACGCGCTTCCAACAGATCGTACGCAATGATGCGCTGGTTGCCTTCCAAGAAGCGATCCTTGTATTCCTCCTCTTCCTTCTCTCCTTGCTTTTCCACCTGCTTTTGGGGGATGTCTTCGGGACGAGCAACAGCAACTTCTTCTTGAGTCATAGTGGTGTAGTATAGTAGTATTTGAGTATATCAGAATAAATGGGAGGGGTAAAGGAAAGAAAGACGATGGTTGACCGTGAATATGGTGTGGGGCAAGACGACAGGGCCCTGGCCACCAATCATTGGTTGCCGTGGCATTGCGGACATTATTGTCACACAGGTTGTGAGGCACGTTCTCTACTTGTTGCTCTCTCCTTTGGTCAGCCACCACTTCTCCTGATGAACTCCTTCTTCATGATGTCTATGGTCCAATATAACGAGGGATGGAATATCGCTAATCCTTTTTGTGAATGGTGCCTGACCTAGTTTTGTGTCAAGAAGGCTGACATCAAAACACCCCATTATTGCCCAAACACGAGTTATTCCGATCCAACACCGCCGCTTGTAAGATGATGGGCCACATCTATATACTTCCCATCCTCTAAGATAGATAGAGTACCATGGTGTGGGTTTTGAGGGATGTACAACCTCTTGCTCTCATTATGAGCTTATACCACTTTGCTGCTTTTTATGCACTTGCTACCATCATCGAGATCCATGACAACATCAAACACCATCTTTGTATCCACATAGCAACAACCATCCTCATCGTACTGCCTGCATAAGACAAATACAAAGTCATCCTCATCCCGATCTTAAGCAACTTGTTGTAGTCGTTGTAAAACAAATATGGTTTCTATACATCCCAAATAGCATAAAGCCTAAATCATAAGGAGCTGTTTAAGAGTACCTTGAAGCAGTTCACCTTAACAACCATCATCATCAATACTTTGATGAATGCTTCGTCCAATGCAATTTTACTATTAACGCATTTGATTCATGCAAGCAGCTATTGTTAGGGTACAGGTATCCCATTGTAATAAAAAGACAAGCATTCAATTTGAATTATCTATCATAGCACTATCTCTTTTGTTCATCTTTGGTTGTCAAGAGATGATAGGGTGGGCAGCCATTGATGGCATGGCATCATCGGGGATTCCTTTGTGTGTGCTTCGTAGCTTTATTAGCGACATTTCAACGAAACCTAATTTATCTTGTTTTCTACCCATCCCTCTTCTTGCGAGTTATGCGTTTCTCGGCGGTGCTGTTAAGCATCCTGGTGTTGGTGCTCATCGTCGACAATGGCTGGGCTTTCCTTGTTGACTCCACATTCAGAAATACAAGACTCGTTCGCGTCATCGATCTTCGAGGCAACGTTGTACATCATGACATTGGCATTCGAGCCAGGAACATTGACAGCCAACCCATGAATGAATACCTCTTCACTGTATCGCCCGAGACGAATGAGAACATTGCTGATATCAAGGCATCCTTACTTGAAGAACCGAGAACAGCTTTGGCAGTCGAACCGGTGCTTGAACCAACAGCGTAAGGGAATCATGCCCTCTTCTTCTTGTGGATACCTTTTCCTCTCTCTCAACTCACGCATGCCATATCCATACATAGTGGCCCTGGATGGTACAAGGTTGTTTTCGATAAGCCAATCGAGCCGGATACGGAGATCCGCTTTGGTATCAAGATCGCCTACACGCATGTATTGGAGAACTTGCCCGCTTCCATTAAGCAACTTGGACGACAATACGTTTATTATTCAGAGAATATCTACGTCGACAATCCTTACTTTACCGATGAGATAAAGACAACATTGCAGTAAGTGGAGGTAGTATACTAGGTAGTAGGATTACTCATGGACAATGATATAGCCTGCCTGCAGCATCACGTGTGCTTTCGTATACCGGTGGTCCTCAAGTTGAGCGAATTGGTGACAAGATTGTGTATGGGCCTTACTTGTCGGTGACACCTGGATCATACAATCCATTCAGGATCCATTACGAGTATTCCAAGCCCTTATTGACTGTGACAGAGCTCCAACGTGATATTCAGGTGTCGCATTGGGCTTCGAATTTGGCTGTCGAGGAACATTACAAGCTGGAGCACAGCGGTGCAAGGTATACTACGAAGAGTGGGAAAAAACAAGCACAACACGTTATTGATATCACCCTTTTTTGTAGATTGGAAGAAGAATTCAGCCGCGCCATGTTTCAAAAGACGAGGATGGTCCATGATCAAACCAATGTGCTAAAGACATTGACTTTTGAATTGCCTGCAGCAGCACGAGATGTATATTATCGTGATGAAATTGGCAACGTTTCGACATCCCGCTTGAGTTATGGTCCCGATAAAGCCACGCTACAACTGTTTCCTCGTTACCCCTTGTATGGTGGTTGGATTTACACGTGGTTTCACGGATACAATGTTGACGCTACCCATTTTGTACGCTATTCATCCAAGTCGGGTCACTATCTATTGAATCTCAACTTTGTGGAGAATGTCCAAGACATGGTTATTGACAAAGCAGAGCTCCGGGTTGTGTTGCCTGAAGGTGCAAAGTAAGTGCTTGATCCATGTGATGATGGGGAAAAAAGGGAGAAAACATTGACAAGGATGTACGTAGGAACGTGCAAGTAGAAATGCCATTTGGTTACGACAACTTGGAACACGCCGTGCATTATACCAATTTCGATTCCACTGGCCGATACGTCGTAGTGATCCAAAAGCACAACGTGGTCCGTGAGCACCAGCAACCGATCCAGGTACGTTACAGTAAAATAAAAATCAAACATGGTTTCAGGGGTTGATATTTTTATGCTCGAATTAGATCACTTACGACTATCCTTCATCTCGTCTCCTGCAAAAGCCACTGGTAGCCTCTGCTGCGATATTCATCCTATTCTTGGCCAGCATTCTCTTTTCAAGGCTTAGTTTGTCGATCGAGACACCTGCTGTAAGTGCGTCTGTGTGCGATATGCATGGTTGGTTACCGGGTTATGTCATAGGCTCACATGTGTTATGTATCACAAATGCAGAAAAAGTCGCAATGAACATTGATCTTTCGCCATTGTACGTCCTTCTCCTCCATTATCTTACACCAATGCACCTTACACCCCTTAAATCGCACTTCCTTTTTCATATCAAATGTCGTATAAAGATATTACAAATTGGTATGCATGGTATAGACTATAATTATCTGCGCCACATCATAGTTACAATATCCTCCCTCACTCTCTTTGATATCGGCAATACGTTACCATGATGGATCAACATGCCGCTGACCGATGACAACGAGGTGCCACATAGTTGAATCCGAAAAGAATGTGAATGACACCTGCACCTGGTAAGGGGCATGATGTGTGTGTGTGTCTAAGAAGAAGGAGCCCAATTGGCATGTGCTAAACAAGGGGAAAGCATATCCTTTTCCACTCCATGGATACGGTTTTTTCTTTGCTGTCTTCATCTCCGAGTAATATCATGTTGAATCATAAAGAATGGGTCATTCTCGAGCCCCTATAATGATTGCATCACCATATTCTATCGCAGCTATTACGTGCTTCAATTGGTGTAAAGAATGACAACAAATGATCTAGGCCACGCGTGTTGTTGAAACACGCAGGTAATGCAATAATTAGGGATGGAGAAAAAAAAAGACATGATTATAAAATGGGGGTTTCTGTGAGTGTGCAAGAGCGCGTGTATGAGTGTGTGAGTGAGTGTGTGTGTGTGTGCGTGTATGTGGATGAGCAAAGGAGAAAAAAAAAGTGCTCTCTTTAACCCCTTTCTTCGGTGCCGGAAATGGAAAGCATGGTCCTTTTGTTTGCCCCTGCAGCATGATGACAGTATAGCCCGTTTTGACTTTGCTCTTTGTTTCATAGCCAAAACATGGCGATCGAAAAGGCTACAGCAAATCACTCACCTGTACTTGCAGTATATGCAGCCCGTCTTGACTTGCTTGTAAATTGGATTGGTCCTTTATTTTTCATCTTTCCTCTTTGCCCTCCAATCACCCCCTTCTTCACTCCACTCCCCATATTCCCCTTTTTTGCTCCTCTCACTTTTTTTTCTTCCTCAAGTCTTTTGCTCCTTATCACATTTCCTCTCTTTTTTCCCTTCATTCACTTTACACACACACACACACACATACGTACACACGTTTGATTATTCACTGTCTTTTCTTTTCTCTTTTGTTTTTTATATCTTGTATCTTTATACTTGACTCTCCTCCCCACTTCTTTCTTTTGCAATACCGACATGGAGAAACAAGCGTCTTTGTTTGATACCAACTACAACGTACATCCACTCCACGAAAGCCATCACCCATTGCGTCGACCTTCACCATCATCATCCGAAAGCTGTAGCTTGTCATCCACACCAGGACCTACCAACCAGGACGAGGCTGGCCTCTGTTCTGTATTTGACAAGCTCAAAGTGGATGATTTTGGAGAACGAAGGTAAGATACCTTAAATCAGTCAAGTGCAGCAAATCATGGCCCTAATGTCAATGTCGCATGATTTGTCATAGAAACTCATCACCAGGCCCCAAACATAATGATTTGGTCAACAAGGCAGTGCATCGATCAATGAGCGTAGACGTGGGAGTTCCTAGACATACAACAGCAACATCAGGCAGCTTACTTGCCAAGAACCATCTTTTATTTGATGGTGGAGGTGGAGATAGTGCAAGAGGTAAAAGGGTAAAAAAAGGGTGCTATATGCAAATGCATATACTAAATGAGAGTGTGCAACTGCAATGTGATTAGATATGCATCCTTTCTCTCCTCAAATGCCACCACGCAATGATGCTGCTTATCTCCGCAACAGCAGCAGATACACTGATTCAAATGAAAAACTTCCTTCCATTGTGGGTCAAGGATTGGTAAGCTATATACATAAACCCTTTCTTGCATATACGATCATGACAACTAAAGGAAGAAAAAAATTCTATAATAGTTTCCTTCGCCCTCTCCTCTTGATCTCAGCTCTTCTTTGCGACGTCATTCAGCAGCACGACAAAACCGTAGTGTGGAGTCATTGAGAACATGGGCACAGTATCTCGAGAATGAAGTACCTACACCAGCAGCTTTTTATGGAGGAGGACAACAACAACAGCAACAACCACCAAGACGTTTTTCATATGGATGTTGGCCACCCGCCACCAATGCACAGGCCGCTGCAGCTGCAGCTGCAGCCGCCGCTGCCGCTGAAGGAGGTGGTAATGGTAATGGTGCCTACTTACCTGCAGCAGCTGTACCGCCCAATATGAAATACAAAAACAGTCGTTTGACCACCTCACATTCGTATTCGGATTTACATGGTGCCGCCTTGAGAGCTGCTATGGCTGCTCAACAACAACAGCAACAACAACATCACCACCCAGTTGATCTAATGTTGGACATGGATGCCTATGACATGCCGACTTCTTTGGATATGCCAATGTATCCTTATCACCAATATTCCATGTTGCACAATTTAGCTGGTGCCGGTGGTGCTAATGGTGGTGCACATCCATTATCAAAGCGTCCATCGCATCATGATCTTGCAGCTGCAGCTGCTCAACATTCACCTTCATCTTCAAGACCAGCAAGTCGTCGAGGCACATGTACACCAGACCATGCATCAGCTACAGCAGCCATGGCAGCCTTGAACAATTCAGCCATGAATGAATCCACCAACCGTTTTGCAGGTGCCAAGCTTGAAGACTTTGTGGGTAAAATGTACGATTTATGCAAGGATCAAAATGGATGCCGCTTTTTGCAAAAGAAGCTTGAGGAGCCTGATAATACACGCCATTTGTGCATGATCTTTGATGAAGTCCAACCCCATTTTCGTGAATTGATGGTGGAGCCTTTTGGCAACTATCTTTGTCAAAAGCTCATTGAACATTGCAATGATGCCCAACGGGATCTTCTTGTCGAGACCGTGGCTCCCGAATTGCTAAAGATTTCTCTCAACATGCATGGCACACGTGCTGTTCAACGCCTCATTGAATTCTTGTCCACACCTCAACAGGTACATTACATCCATCCTTTTATTCAATACACAATGCTAATTGAGTAATGTACATAGATCCAAGCAGTGATTCAAGCGCTTGATCCAAACGTGGTCACTTTGATCAAGGATTTGAATGGCAACCATGTTATCCAAAAATGTCTTCATCGCTTGTCGGCTGAGCACAAGCAATTTGTATACGATGCTGTGAGTGAGAACTGTATCCAAGTAGCAACCCATCGTCATGGTTGCTGTGTGTTACAACGTTGCATTGATTATGCATCGGATGATCAAAAGGTAAAAGATAGCGACAATGCTGCACCTTTTCAAGACAATGGCTTGCTAATACCTGTATCCTTGTCAACAGAACCAACTTGTCAAAGTAATTACATGGCATGCGTTGCCTTTGGTGCAAGATCCATTCGGCAACTATGTTGTTCAATACGTGCTTGATCTTGGAGATATCCATTACACTGATACCCTTATTCGCTGTTTCTTGGAAAATGTATGCGATCTCAGCGTTCAAAAGTTCAGCTCCAATGTGATTGAAAAATGCATTCGTGTGGCCGAACCAGAAACACGTCGCTTGCTAGTAGCCGAGTTGATGAGTGAATCGAATGTTGAAAAGTTGATCCGAGACTCGTTCGCCAACTATGTCATTCAAACATGCCTTGAATATGCTGACCAAGATCAACGTCTACAGGCAAGTGTATACAATGGTGATGATGATTGTTGATGTTCTCTTGGATTAACATGATCTACCTTTTTTTAGTTGGTGGAATTGATTCGCCCTCTACTCCCTTCCATTCGAAGCACACCTTATGGCAAGCGTATCCATAGCAAAATCCAACGTGAACAACAACAGCATCAACCACAACGTCGCATCCGACAGCATCAGAGCTTGGGATCTCTTCGTTTTAATGCAAGCAGTAACACTGGACCAGGGAATAGCCCATTGTATCAGGGACCTACCACACCAACAACCATCCCTACAGACGCACCTTTTGGATTGCCATTGATTGGCAATAATGATCCGCTCTATCCATATCCTTAATACCCCCACCCCACCCATCATCCTCATCATCATCTTCATCCTATGTGCGTCCTTGAAAAACTAATCATGTTGTACCACCATTCATTTCCCTTCGAAAGGTCGAACAAGGATGGTTGGCTTGTCGATAACTGCATTCTTCTTTTTTCGTTCCATTCGCTAATCGTATCTCTTTCTCTCTCTCTCTCTGTTGTTGTTGTTTCTCCTTGTTTTTCTCTCCCTCTCTCTCTCTCTCTCTCTCTCTCTCTCTCTTCTTTCTTTCCCACACACGCACACACGCACGCCCATCTTGTAGCTAAACGCACTACTAAACGTTCCCTTTTCCTTTTTCCTTTCAACAATGATGTTCTTTTGGCATGTTCAACTAGTGTTGTATTCTTTTTTTGTGTGTCAATGGGGGGCTTTTAGGCGAATAGATGGTGTCGAAATGTATGTGTGTGTGTGTGTATATATGCGAGGTTGCGTTGAGTGGTGCTGTACAAAAGGAATGGAATTCGGTCTATTGTTGTTGTTGTTGCTGATCCAAGCCATGACGTTTGATAATGTTTTCCTTGTAAGGATGATCCTCGCCTTCAAAGATATGGAGACGAGCCAGTCGATCGTCGCGTAATCGGTTCTTTGGCAACATACCAGACACTGCCTTGCGGATAGCCTATCGATGCTATTTAGTATCCATGACGACCGATCTCTCTCTCTCCTTTAAAACATACCGCAGTAGGATCCTTAGCCTTCAAGTCATTGTATGTGATTTCCTTGAGACCACCAGGATAACCAGTATGGTGTCGGTACAACTTTTGCTCAGCCTTGCGACCTGATACAAGGACGTCCTTGGCATTGATCACCACAACATAGTCACCACAATCAGCTATTATCAGATCCGCATCGTTAGCTCATCGTGTCAATGGAGAAGAAAGAAAGCTACAAGCTTACAAGCAGGATCGTAAATGGGCTTATGCTTTCCCATAAGAGTGGTAGCAATGTTGGTGGCCATGCGACCCATGACTCGTTGACGAGCGTCTACGACATGCCATACTCGAGCGTATGCAAGGGCGGTCTACAATATGAATACAAAACGTCAACATGGACAAGGTGTGTTGCAATGGTGTCGTTATTTACGTTGCCAATAGCTTGCGACATATTGTTGTTGTTCGGTGGAGAAAACGGTTGTCAAATTTGCTTTGCTCCTGGTTTATAAATCCTCACTTTTTTATCCTCAGCATCCATTCCCCTCTCTCTCTCTCTCTCCCTCAACATCTCTTTTTGTCTCTTTGTACAAGGCGTATACGCTTCTTTTTTACTTGAAATAAAAGAAAGAATTCACAATCTACAAACATCCAGCACCTTGTTAGATCCCACTTGTATGTAATCCATCTATCTTACACACTTACTCACTAATAAAAAGAGAGAGGACAATGTGAGACATTTGAACAACCCAATGAAAGGAAAAGTAAAAGCATACTTACGTAAAGATGAATAGATTGTTGGTGGCGGCCACCGCAATAGAGTTCTCATTTGGATGCCAGGAAGCATGAAGGATTTTCTTGTTAAAGTCCACAGCATCGGTATCATCCCTACGACCACCCCTGGTCATGCCATTCCTATTTCCTCCTCCCAGTGCTAGTTTGTTCTTGGCCGATCCCAGACGCTTGGCTTTGAATGCGCTCTTGTCGGCCTGCAAGTTGACTTCGGCAAGTGTGTCACGATTGTAAATGTGCAGATTGTTGCTATAGGAACCAGTCATCATGTGCCTGTAGTAAAGGAGTCAATAAACATACATACACATAATGTAATGCAATACCACTTACGATCCATCTCCACTGAATGTGCATTCAAATTTGTCGAATATGCAGTCATTCTCATACAAGTCGCAGAGCTTGTTTCGTAAATGATCATGGATATTGATAGTGGTGACAGGCTTGTTTTCCATGTTGATATCCCATAACTTTAGTGTGAGGTAATCGCGTGAAAGAATATAACGACCATCCCGGCTAAACTTGACATCGGATATAGAAGAGATGATTTCTGAAAAGAATGACCGGCTGTTGGGGTCTTCTGGTGCCTCAAACACTGTAAACAGAGGGAGATCATGAGCTTGTTTGCATAGTGTTTAGGCTATCATGTGCGTGTGTGTGGTATTTACCTTTGGCACGTTGGTCGCACAATGCACTTTCACGCATATCGGCCATCTTGATTGTCCCCTTGCTGCTGCTGTACATGAAAAGATTACATTGCAATGGATGGAATTCGGCAGCCGTGATCACTTCGGTCAGCTCCTCCATATTGGCAGGCTTGATATCGACAATGTCTACATAAAAGAAAGGTTTTCATTAAAACCAAGACCATGATATCAAGGTATATATATACAAACTCACTGAAGCTTTGGTCCGATATATCAAGATTCCATAGATTGATCCTAAGATCATCCGCTGAAATGTAAGTTTCACCATCCGAGTTGACAGAGATCGAGTTGATGTGGTATGCGTGTGCTAAAAGTAATAGTTAAAAGAGAAGATGTATCCCCTTTCCCCTTTTGTGTATCCTTCTCGTCCTCCTCCTTACCATTTGCATAGATCCTTCGAGGTACAGCGGCAATAATGGTATCGTGGACCACAAGCTTGGGTAATGTCAATTGCTTGGTGGGCTTGAAAGGCTTGGCGACAGGTGCACTTAGAGGTCCATAGTTCTCACCGAGGTTGGTCTCGTGAACGATCTTTAGATTTCTTTCAAAGACCTTCCACAATTTGATTGTCTTGTCTATAACGTGTGGTGTAAATCCAAATGATCTTCAAAAGGAGTGAGGGGTGGTGGGGGAAGGATGTACGACGTACCGTTGGTTGAGAGTAAAAAGTGAGCAGCATTCGTACGCTTGCACCATTTGATTTTGTTGATCTTTTCCTCGATCTCCAAGCTCTTCAAATAGTCAAACTCGGGTTCATGCGATTGAAACTCGGTATGAAATCGATATTCGCATCCTTTTTTCTGCCATTGCATTTATAAGTATCCACGTGGATATCTTTTTTTCTCTTTGAACATCCCCCCTTAAACTTACGCTTTCGTTTCTCTCAAAAAGAACGACTCGACCACCCTTGTCGCCGGTCGCAAGATAGTTGCCAGTGTGATCAAATTCAACCGCGGAAATGATATCGGCTAAAAAGAACACCACGTATGAGTGTACACTGCGTATATCATAGATACATGTCTCTTTTTAATCATCCCAAGCAATAAACCGATACACGCGTCATGGGTGTATATGCATAAAAGGTCCTCTCTCTCCCCACACCCCAAAGGTAACAAGTCGACTACCTTCTGTGATATTATCGGATTCTCCCTTATCGCCGAAACACTGAGCAAACTTCCACTTGCTGTCGGTGTCACTTGTTCCTGCGGCAGCTTGCATAATTCAAAATGTGGGATTGGAAACGAGAAAGAGAGGGGTCGTGCGTGTGTATGCGTATGTGCGTGAGTTGGCAATCAACGATTTGTGTGTTGTGTGTGTTGTCTTTGAAGAGTTTGTTAAGAGCTGTAGCAGAGATGCAAACAATCAACGAGAACGTTAACAAGAAAAAGAAGCGCCACGCGACGGCAGACAAAAAAAAAGTGAAAAGAAAAAAGGAGAAGCAAGTGATATGAGTGGGTGTGCGTGTGTATGTGTGTGAGTATGAGTGTATGTGATATGTGTGAGTGTGAGTGTGTGTGTGTGCGTGCAGTGTAGGTGACGTCTACTGCAGTAAGAACGCAATCGATGTTTTACGCCCTATCCCTTAAGCCTATTGCAGCGTGTGGCCCCCCTCCCTCTCTCGGAGTCAAAAGTAGTTACCAAACATACACACACCGGTGGTTCTTGTCACATGCAATACGTCAGCTAATCATGCATCATGCTGCTGCTATAGTGATTTCATATCCATCATCATTAGTTGATGAGAGTCATTCTGCTGATAACAAGCATCTCTATTCCCCCTCCCCCTCATCCCCCCAACCTTCAGCCATCACCACTCTTAGTACTAAAAGTCATGCGAAGATGAAATGCATGAATGAAGCTATCAGCACGGGTCCAATCATAGGTACACATACATCATTCTTCTATACATGATGAAGCCACCCATTTGCCGACAATGGTAGAAAAGTGTATCCCATGATGATGATGATGATGATGATGATGCAACAAAGTTGTCCCAGGCCTAAGCTGGAATGGAAAAACGCACACTGTACAACATATCCGTCAGCGTCAAATTCATTGGCTCGGAACACAACCTTCCCTTTCTTCCCAACGAGGAATTCTACCTGCACCTGAAAATGATTTCCAGATACTCGGAGTCACTTGAGAATGAAGATGTACGATGTACATTTATAAAAAGATGTCATAGTATGCTAGCTGTGTCGCAATGGATCATCATTAAAATCGCATGTTGCACGTATCCTTTATCATCCGTTCTTCAATGCATATCATCCCAAAATAATGGATCGACATGAATGTTGACAAGGCGGTTGTTGCCGCAGCTGCTGCGGCAGATAAAGAGGCGCAGCATCATCCCGCACGTGGAATACCCCGCGTTCCCACCTCTTCATTATTTAAACAAGACCCCTAATACAACTTTGACACAACACGACACACTATGACACAACCACTGGCCGATACATTCTTCGAAGAGTTGGCAACGTACATGGTCATGCTCGACGATGACACCATCGATCACTTGACAGGCGTACTCAACGACATGACATTGTCCTCCAATCCGGTCAATGACATCTCCAAGGCAACTCGCAATGTTCTTTTGGACGCCAATGTAAAAGAAGATACAGTACAAGCTATTTATGATGGTCTCTCGAAACAATTGGGTGGTCAAGTAAGTCAAATAGAGACAATGGGCTCTATGTACGAGGATACTGATCGATGCCATATATAGATCACAACCAAAGCCGACGATGACAGCAACAATGATCGCCCAAAGACAGTCAGCGAGAAACGTGCAGCACGATTGGCAGCATCTGCAGCACGTCGAGGCAAAAAGAGTGGTCGATCGTCAACCAAAAACAAGGATACGGATAATGGATCATCATCGTCATCATCATCGCCATCACCATCCAACAATAGCCAGGAACCGGTCATCGTGGCAACTTCACAACAATCACGTTTCCATAGCGAGACGCTTGAGACCAGTAGCACCGAACTTGACTTGCCCGGTGTCAACATCACTGTTAATAATCAAGATCTATTGGTTGATGCTCATCTCAAACTCAAGGCTGGTACACGTTATGGTCTCGTGGGCCAAAATGGTGTTGGTAAAACAGGTAAGTTCCCATTGAATATCCACCACACCCCGTTTATTAACGATGTTCTTAGTTCTCATGCGATGTTTGGCTGACAACATCTTGGTGGGCTTACCACAAAACATCAACATTCTTCACGTGGCTCAGCTTCAAGTGTTTGATGAATCCACCACGGTGCTTGAAGAAGTGCTTGCTGCTGATAAGGCTGCTGCCAACACGATCAAGGAAGGAAAATGTGAGTTGAGTTGAATACGTGGCAGCTGCCGTACTAGGTCTCATTAGCTTGACGCTTACAATGATGGACCAATGATCTATGTATAGTACTTCAACAAGTCATGGGTGATCAACAAGCTACCTCCGCTACTACTACTACTGCTGCACCCACTGCCGACATGAATCGTGTGATCTATCAAATCATGGTGTCAAGGAGCGAGGACAAGCTCGATATGGCCAACAAGTTAGCAATCAAGCGATCAGGTGCACGTGGAAGAGATGCTCGCAAGGCTCTTATTGAATGTGAAAAGAGTCATGCCGATCTCCTTGCCAAGGATCCACAGACATTTATCACTGCACAAGATACCAATGCGATTGTCTCTCAAGTCTTTGAGCAACTTGCACTGATTGACGTTGGCGAACGTGAAGCTAAGGCGCGCAAGATTTTATTGGGGCTTGGATTTGATCAAGAGTCTCAAGGACGACCTGTATCTACATTCTCTGGTGGATGGCGTATGAAGATTGCTCTTGCCAAGTCACTCTTTATGGATCCTAATATCCTGTTGTTGGATGAACCCAGTAAGTAAAAGGCTTTGGACATGCTGCAAGAGGGAAGGACTCATGTTGTGCATTTTTATGATAGCCAACCATTTGGATTTACCTGCCATCATTTGGTTACAAGAATATATTCTCAATGAGACCGAAGGCCAAACCATTGTCATTGTATCCCACGACCGAGACTTTTTGGATACTGTCACTGAAGAAACCATCATTTTCCGTGACCAAAAGCTCAAGTATCATGCCGGCAATTATGAAGATTATGAACGTAATACTGAAGAACAACGTGTTCGCAAGCAGGCCTTGAAAGATGTATGTTGCTGTGGTTGGTTCCTTTTATCGCCTTACTGATTCAAGGTTTTATCTTCTTTAGGCCATGGAACGTCGCAAGAAACATATCATGGCCAGTATTCAACACAATCTTCAGCAAGCAAAGTCAACAGGAGATGACAAGCGATTGAATCAAGTAGCATCCAGGCAAAAGGTATATCCAAAGGACGAAAATTTCTATATGGAATTACTTATAGAATGAATGAATAGAAATTGGATCGCCTGGGTATGGAGAAAACAGAGGATGGTAAACGCTTCAAAGTGAGCTACTATGCCGGTTATCATCACCACGCTCGTGTACAAATCCATGTGGAGCAAAACGTCAAGACGGCTGCTATCAAGATCCCTGATCCACCACCACTTCGTTACCAAGGTCCTGTGTTTTCAATGAAGAATGTCACGTTCCGATATCCAAAGACAACGGCCACCATTATAGACGACTTTTCAATGAATGTGGAATTGGGATCGCGTATTGCCTTTTTGGGTGCCAATGGATCTGGAAAATCAACATTGCTGCAAGTCTTGACGGGCCATCATGAACCCACATCAGGCGAGGTGTATCGTCATCCGCTGTTACGTGTTGGCTATTTCTCTCAACATTTCGTGGATGATTTGAGCCTTGAGGAAACCCCCTTGGAAATGATCATGAATCAATATGCTGGTGCTACAGAGCAACAATGCCGACAACATTTTGGATCCGTGGGTCTCAGTGGCAATGTGGTACTGCGTAAGATGAAGAGTCTCAGTGGTGGTCAACGCAACCGAGTTGCTCTTGCCATGATCCTTTTTGAGGCGCCCCATGTGCTTATTCTTGATGAAATCACCAACCATTTGGATATGGGTACGGTCGAAACATTGGTGGATGCGCTTGCTGGCTATCCTGGTGCTTTGGTCTTGGTCAGCCACGACGTCTGGTTCATGAAGCAACTTATGGAAGTTCAACCCGAAGAAATCGCTGAAGGACAAGAAAATGATGAACCTGGTATCAAGACTGAATGCTTTGTTGTCAAACCTGGAAAGCCTATCAAGCGTTGGGAAAAGGACATTGATAGCTATGTTGCATCGGTTGCCAAACAAGTGCGCAAAAAGTTCCATGCCCAGAGATCATAAATAGTCAACCTCCCCCAACCCAATTGTATATAAAGATTCGTTCATGAATGTTTATGACATTTATATTCTAGTTTGCAACTTGATTACTACTACATCTATAATGATAACGGCATTGCGAAGCCTGTAGCTTTTGACCATTTGACATCATCAATGCACAATACAAGTTCTCTTTAAATGGAGGGATCACTTCACTTTTTCTCTTCTCATGGTCACCCCACTCCTTATTGTATCACAAAAGCCATATACTTCTTGCATGACCGATAACCGGACCACCTTTATTATTCCATCTTCGAAGCAATAGTATGTAATCCACAAGCTAGCAACCTCCAAGCGTGAAATAAATAAACAATGCTTTATGTCATCTAGCTATCTTGCTACATTGCCACCACCATCGTCATAGTCGTCCTCTGTCATCATCCGTACTCGTACTCGTACTTGTCAGAAGGCGTCAATCTCCTCGTCGCAAATTCCAAATCACACAAGTTGAAGAGAATGGGATCTTGCAGGCTTCCTTTTGAATCTCGTTGTCGTTATCATTGTCATTGTTGTGAATGAGGTGATCATCATAATCGTCATTGTTGCGAATGAGGTGACCATCGTAATCGTCATTGTTGTGAATGTGGTAATCATCGTAATGGTCGTCTCTATAAGTAAAAGCAGCCAAGTTAGACCATCTGATACCGGGAATGATGACGATTTGGTATACTGTTAGGCGAATCTCTCTAAGGAAGAAGGCAAATCAGAAGGAATTCACAAACCAAATCACCACCATACGAGCAACGTCGGGCGATCCCTTGTTCTTGAGAAAGCACTGCACGAATCACGCAAGGCCAGGCTCATAGTTGTCCTCATTCATCCTCTCCAAAGAAAGAATGATTCCCAATCCTTCCAATCATTTCCCGCCTCATGAAAAGAAATCCTCAAGGGAAAGAATGAGCCTATCAGGAGAAGAGCGTGTTGGTGCGCACTGATGTCAACACATTCACAACCTGTTGCAAATCCCTTTTTACCTCAACACGGTGACCATGCTCTTCCAACGACCCATCGTCATCGACCCATCACCTCAACGCAGGCCTATAGAGCCCTGGACGCGTTCCAAGAAGCTTTTTTTTCGCACACTTGGCTAGTGCAGAGCGACGCAGCGTCCACTTGATACAGGCTGGGACTTGAACCCAAAGAGATGATGATGATGCCCCAAGTTGCATTGCCTGACCAAAGAAACCAATTCAATTCATTATTAGCACATACATACAATAAACACCCTTTTTCATTGTTTGTTTCATTGCAATTACCTTTTCCATAGACACAAAGACGCGTTGTTGTTGGTTACTGGAAACTGAAAACCATGGTGTAGTGTCGTTGAGCCGAAACCAAACGCCAAACCAGCCAATGTCTTGAGACCAAACTTGCTCTCTATACAAGCTGACGCGTCAATGGAACAAGTTCTGCTGCAACATTGGACTCTGAATGTACCTGTTGACACCAAGCGTAGAGCGGGAATAGCAACGAACAAAAGGAAGCAACAATATTGCCATGGCAACCACCAACCACCAACCACGCTCATTCCTCAGCACTTGGACAAACTCACTCCCTGACAATGCATGTTCAGAACTACATTAACACCTCACAGCCAACAAGAGCACTTTTTTTATAATATATTACCTTGATCGAGATGCCGTGAATGGAATAAGGAAAGGTGGGAGAAAAAGAAGAGAAAGCGTTGTCTCAAGTCGTGGAGCTACCGTCCCCCAAGTTTAAATCCCCCTACTGCTATTACACTGAGGCCACTCAATTACCCTATACACACCATCCACCCATCATGATCATCACCCTCACGGTAGACAATAGGTACACGTAAATAAAAGAAATGATGATCCTCACGTATAGCAAAAGGGTGTGTGCCATTTTACACTTTACATGATAATGATGATCCAACAACAGCCATTGCCTTACTACCATGTCAGCTCAAATCAAAGAAGTTAAATGATGGGCATGCTGGGCTGGAGCAGGAGAATCGTTCGTATGCATTGAATCGGTCAACAAAGGTGAATGGGAGGAATGGGCTATTAGCCGGCAGTTTACAAGTAACTTTGCAAAATGATTTTTCTCATATTGGGCGACACTGCTGTGTTTGAGCGTTTTTCAGTCAAATACTCTCGGATCAAGAAAGTTGAATGATGGGAATGATGGGCTGGAGCAGGACAATCGTTCATATGCATCGGGTTGGGCAACGAACGATGTGCATGGTAGGAATAAACATTTTCCCGTATTACATTGTAAGGAATGGTTCGTGTTTAGTATCAAATACGCGATTGCCATGGTATGGTTTATCATTCCATAGAGCAACAAGGTGATGGATAGCTATTTTTTGTTTAATGTATATAACCATCATTCAGCAAAAGAGAAGTGGGATCTATAGCCGTATTGGGGATTGGTGTCAAGGATTTTTCATAGGCGCCCTGTGTAGATACTGCCAATGATCACCATCCAGCAAGAAATAAAGCGGGCTGCCATATGGAGGTGAGCAAAGGAAAGGTATAACTGTCATTTCGAAAATTAATGAACCATCCTAGAGATCCTTCGCTACACCACAAACCTTTTCATGAAACCTCGGCAATGGCTATTTCGTGCTCCAGCTGCACTAGCGGGTGCATATGTCTATGCCGTTGCCATGGGTCGCTTGTATCTAGTCCCGCAACGGCATTTGTTTCAGGTTGCTGCGTTGTTGCAGGGGCAGCTGGCTGACTACCTTCATACTTGAGAGAGCCCAATTTGATCTTCGCTTGCAATCCAGCAAATCCATCGACATCGATGGCAGCAATGGACGATTGTCCTTCGACTTCGATAGCAGTGATACGGCCGTGCAAACGCTCCTGGCTTGTTTTCGTTGTATTGAACTTTTTGGCCTCCTCAAAGCTCGTGAAAGCACGAGGCATATTCGACGCTCGCATACCAATGGCGAATCTCGAAAGGTTCTTAGGCAGAGTCTTTATCAATTGAATAAATGGGGAAGGAATACTACGGTAGACGTGAAAGAGAATGTATTACAGAGCGGGTTTTCTTTTTGGACGCGTTTACGTATAAGGATCATGCAGCCATCTCTATTTGAAATCGCTACTAGATCTAGTTATAATGTATTGGTTGGACGCTTGGATCAATGTTGCAAGCAGTGGTGTTGTACGAGAGGAGGGTTGCTTTTATGCATCATGTAACAAGTGAAATTGATATAGTGTGCTCTTGCGGTTCATTTCCATGTACCAACACGCTTTCAAAACATGCTCAAAGACGTCCATCATTTTTTCTTACAAGGCATCATGGTCATATGAAAACAAATGAGATGCTATTGATGAAAGGGAAGGCGAGTGATGGTATCCATGCAACAAGGAGGTGACCTGCCAACGCACAAAAAAGGCAATTTTTGAAACGAGGCGCAGGGAATGCACGATTGGTCTGAATTTGGACGCTAAAAACTTCCATAGAACGTTTACGAAGGGTATTCACTCTCAGCACCGGTCACCGCAGTCACCTCCCAAAAACTATAAAAAGGCGCCCATCTTGCAACTCAATGAACGGCATCCTCTCAGGCCTTTTGGCTAAGATCAAGTGTAGTATCTGTTCTTTATAGTTTAACAACTATAATGTGGATTCCGATCCACTCGTTGTTAATCTAATTTTTTACGCCCGGTCCTTTTGCTCTGGCTTGCCATCAAGAGGACCACAGGTGTCCGCGGCCTGACACTGTCAGCTGTGTGACGCCGACCCAATTTAAAAAGCAAATGATAATAATTCTAAAATGAGTTCTTGAACTCTTTATTGTGGTGGCCGTGAGGTGGCTTTTACTTCGGGGTTAGCAATATCTGATGGTTGACAAGTTGTGGTTGAGCTCCCTTTTAATTCTTTCATCATTGACGCATAAGGCTTTCTATGCCATATCCATGCTACGCTCCAAATGAGATGAATCATTGTATTCTTATGCATGATATGCAACCGTTCAGCATTTATATATATATCAATTAAGCATGATGTCTAGTTGTAACATGTCCATAGAGCTGCATGACAGCCTTTAAGAGAACTTTGTATGGGGCCACCACCTGTAAAGAGCTTGGCATCATTATCCGGACTATAAGCAAGGGTATATACAGCTTGAGGTGTCAATCGATGTTGGCCATAAAAGTAGTTGCGGTATACGTGGCTGGATTCATCAAACCATCCTTCCGAGACACTTTGATACGGTTGGCCTGACGACGAAGGAACAAATGCATGGTTGCGTACGTCATAAAACGATATTCGGCCACGACCACCACCACACGTAACGATATGATCGCGCAATTCCAGTGAACGTACACCCCAATCTTGATCTTGCGAGAGGAATTCGTGCATGTGGGAACGATGGTCTCTTCCAGTACGAGTATCCAATAATGTCACATGTTCTTGTGATCCAACGGCAAGCAAGTGCTGTTGTTGTGCCATGCAAACCAACTCCCGTGTCCGCCATAATGGCATATGACGTTCCTGTATGATATTGGTTACATCGATAAAGTCATCTTTTCTTTTATCTCCTTTACCTTTTGTTGCGTATGAATGTTCCATATTTCCACATTGCCAATGGAGCTCAAGCTGGCAGCTTCATGTGTATTCATCATTTTGATATCACGCACTCGACCACTGGTTTTCCATCGCTTTGCAGTCCCAATTCCCCATAAACCCATAGTGCCATCGCGTGACCCGGTAATAAATGCCGTATCATCAATCCATTGTACACTAAACACTGCATCTCGATGTTCTTGTGCTGTTGTGCTGAGGAATGTCAATTCGGGTAATCGGTATATCATCACACAAGGTGGATCAGCAACGGCAACTGCCAATAGGGTGCGTGAAGGATTGGTTGCTAGGCTGCGTATTCCCTCACATTTGGAGAAGCGTTTTGATGGAATGCTGGATGGTGTCACAGGCTCGCGTTCGAATTGCTGATGCTTTGTCGTGGTAGGAGAAGAGATGGGTGTTGTTGGCATGGTGATTGCAAAGGGGATTTCCGAGAGCGTGTGATCCATTGTGTCAATAGCAAGTAACTATTGTTCCCCAATAAAGAGCATGAATGAATGCGAATAAGAACGTTTGTGTTGCTCTATCCCAATCTTACCTTGTTGTCTTTGGTGCCAACCACTACTCGGTCATCGCCTATAATGCAATGCATTAGCAAATGTCAAAAGTTGATCATTGTCGTATGCACATACTAATCCATGTTGATGAAAATATCTTGTCATGATGCTTGACTTGGATGGGATCTTCGGTAAGGATGGATGTGCTTGGTGCTCTGGTATATTGATGTACACGCCGATAATCGAAACGTCTGTGCGTTGATCCACTGCGCCGATCATTCAGGAATTTGTAAAGGTGGTAGTGGTCTAAATATGTAAGGATCAGCATTACTGTTATCCACCAAATGCAAGAATGAATATTTACCAGACATTGGGATCCTTGAGGATGTATAAAGAGAGAGAAAGAGAAGGGTGGTGACGAGGAATACGTATCAGAAACAGGAAGGGATGAATGCACGGACAAAGAAGGGGGAGGTATTCGAAACCTATCTAATTTAAATGGCCTGGGAGAACCCCAGGGTCAGTAGACCTGCCACGCAATCCACATGGTTACTTACCCCTCGTGCACATGACATGTTGTAGTAGGTGCTTTTCGTCAGATGGTGTATATGCGTATCATCATCATCATCCTATTACCCTTATATCAGATCACCTTTGCAAAGTGATAGAATGCATATGTACATGATGGTGTGTTACTTACCTTAAAACAAGACTCGCAGGTGTAACAAACAATAAAAACAAATGCATTGGTGATCATGGTTGTGTCTCAATTGTGTTGTTTATTAATGTTGATAATGACCGAGAATCTACTCAATGCCAGTAACGATGCTCTTGGTAAAAGTGAATTCATCAAGTGCAGCTTGTCCAAGATCTTTGCCGATACCCGATAGCTTACGACCACCAAAGGGAGCATAAGGAGGCATGTAGTTGTAAGTGTTGATCCATACATAGCCGACACGTAAAGATGACGCAACACGATTTGCGACGACGAGATCATGTCCAAAGACACCAGCTGCCAATCCATAGGGTGAAGCATTGGCGCGTTGAATAGCCGAGGTGATATCATCAAAGGGTTCGAGTACGGTCAATACTGGGCCGAAAATTTCCTCGGTGGCGAGAGGAGCATTGTCTGGGACTTGAGTGAAGATTGTTGGCGGGACATAGAATCCATCATTCAAGGCATCATCATTGCGTTTCCACCAAGGTGCTTTATCACTTGTATCAATCGCACGACGTACACGCTCATATTGTTGTTGATCAATCAAAGGACCAAGTTGGACATGTTGAGATTCCCGTTGAAGAGCCTCCAGAAAAGCATCATGGATCGATCGATGAACCAGCACACGTGAGACGGCACAGCAATTTTGACCAGCATTTGAGAATGCACCAAGAGCGATATGACTTGCAGCCTTGTCAATGTCAGCATCGGGAAGAACAATAGCTGCATTTTTGCCACCACATTCAAGAATGACAGGACATAATTGGTCGCTGAGATCACGCATGATAGCTTGGCCTGCTGGAGTAGATCCTGTGAAGCTAGCCTTGTCGAGATGGCCATCAGCAAGCAACGTACGACCCACATCGGTGCCACCAGGGATAACGGATAATACACCAGGCGGTAAATAAGGAGCAGCCAACTGAGATAGAGCAAGCGATGTCAATGGTGTTTGAGGAGCAGGCTTCAAAATGGCACAATTACCAGCAGCAAGAGCAGGAGCCAACTTCCATGCAGCCAACATCAATGGATAATTGAATGAAGTAATCAATCCAACAACACCACAAGGCTCACGCTTCGTCATCATATGCAATCCATTCGTGGTCAACGTTTGTCCATAGGCCTTGTCAGCATGTCCAGCAAAGAAACGTAGGCATTCAATCGTATCTCCAACCTCGCCAGCAGCATCCTCACGCTCCTTGCCAGTCTGTATCATTTCAAGCTCGGTCATTTCTTCACAATGGCGTTCAACAGCATTCGCAATACCAAGGAGTGCATCGCGGCGTTCACTTCCACTTGTTTGTTGCCATGTCAATTGTGCATTTCTTGCAGAATAAATAGCCTGTTGAACGTGTTCACGTGTAGCGTCATGCACTGTCAAGAGTGGTTGTCTTGTGCGTGGGTTAATGAGAGTGCGTGTTGCTGAGGAGGTGTGCCATTGGCTGTGAATGTGTGGGCCCAGCCCTTTGAGGAAACGAAAAGACATGATGGAAGAAGAGAAAATTAAGGTTTTATTATTGGGCTCTACTACAGGCTACTTTGAGATAGTAAAAGAATCAATCACAGAACCTAAAGTGCCATCTTGATTTGCTTGATGATGAGTCATGCTAAAAGTCTCTGAGGTCACCTTGACAGTGGAAAATCCATTGCCATCATAACGTTTGGCTGACCAGTCTGCCCATGGTCCCGTAGCGTTAAAGCTCTCGGCTCCTTCAGGTTGACCCACGTTTCCTACAATGACCTGCATATAGGATTTGGGCTGATGATATGATTGGCTGGTCACTTGGCCCTTTGCCACTGGTAGCGTACGCTCATAATTATGCACATGGCCCCTACATCGTTGTTGTGTGAGATACGCATCCATAAACAACATCTATGATTATACTTACGCAATCACAACATCCACATTGTATTCAAGCAATAATGGCTCCAATGCACCAAATCCAGTATTGTTGAAACCATCACGGATGAGTTGAGCCTTACTTGTACAATCTTCATTCGCGGCACTGCAATATAAGGGATGATGGGTGATCAACACAACCCAGGGTCGTTGCTGACGATGCTTGTTTGCTTCCACCAAATCAGCCTCCAGCCAATTGATTGCTGTTTGCACTTCCTCAGGGGTGCCATAGAAATAAATCTCGGTCGAAAAGGAGATGAGATGCAAAGACTTGTAATCGAAAGAATACATCAATGGATTAGCAAAGTGCGATTCCTTATGCGGGAGAGTTGCATATCTACATAGGATTGCGGAAAACAAAAAATCAGGGTTACCATACATACACACCCAACAACTCGGCTACTCTATGTACCTGTTGATATAATGCGAAAAGTTGTAAGCACGTTCATGGTTGCCGGGCACACCCATATAAGGTACACGGGCAAAAAGTTCTTGAACCATGTTCATGTATTCATCACCTTTGAGACCATTGAAATCGGCCATGTCATACGCCTATTATTGATCGCCACCATCGAAATTAGACATATGCATGAACGCTTGGAAGATCTTGACGCCCCCTGATTGTTGGTCACCCCCGTCAACAGCCCTATCCACCACCCACCCCAAACTTTTTTTACCTGATCTCCGGACAATGTAACAAAATCATACTTGTGGGTCTTTGCAAAATCAACCAAATGTGGCATAGATACCGCGTTATTGACACCCTGTATACATAATGAAATGCATTCAATTTAAGCAAAGGTTTCGAGCCAAGTGTGTGTGTAACATGATTTTACCACTATGCACGTACCATATCGCCAATAGACAAGAAGCTAAATTCATCCTCCTTGCTTGCAGTGTGGAATTCAAGTTCAGGACCCCATTCTGTACCATTGGATGTAGTTGCGCCGACCTGGTAAGCATAAACGGTAGCTGCCTTGAGATTCTTGGTCTTGATCATGTGCATATACAATTCACGTTGTAGAGCACCACCATCGGTAAAAGTCCAGCTCTATGTATATACAACGTCAAGCTCCTTATCCTAATACCATCAACATGATCCCTCGAACACTTTTTTATAATACCTCGCCCCTGAGTTGGGTAACAGGCTTGTTGGATGTCGAAGCATGGCGGCTCTTTGGCCAATACTTGAGGACAGCTTGATCAATGGGTGATAAGGTGGCAAATTGGATACGTGCATATTTAGAATCAGATCCAAACGACAAGTGGATTTGTTGCGGTTCCGTTTGGCCATAGGTACGATTCCAATCCACACCCAATGCTGTATTAAACTTGTCAGGCACCGTCATCAAGCCAGGGCTACCAGCAGGTTCCTCTTGTTGTTCTTTGTCGGCACGACCCAAAAGACTTGGTGATGCTATTGCGGAAACCGCCCATGCACCGAGAATAAAAAGTAATCGTTTCATGGCAGCAGTCCTTTTAGAAATGAATGGGTACAAAGAAAAAGAGGGACGAACGCCGATACCATGGGAGACGTTTTATACTTTTTTCCTATTCTACGCCTTTACAAAAGAATTCTGTACATCATGTAAAAGAATCTCAGCACGTGTACACGATTAGCCATGTTAAGGGGTGCCATGACATGTAGCGTGTGTAGGCCGTAGGTGGGATTGATTGGGGGGAGTGGAGGTGGTTCAAGCAGCAAAGGGCCATCATCACAGTAACAGAGCAATGTCTCACACACATTAATGGAATTGACGGATCTTCAACCAATAGGCTTTAGCACTCATAGCATGCACACCCATATTTGAGACACATGCCTTGCAAGATGATGAAAAACTTTTTGCCATCATATGATAGCTCTCTTTTTTCTCCACCCGAAATCAATGCTATGTAGCAGCGTGCATCATTATTATGCACTACAAGTAAACATAATGGCACATGCCGACAGTTGTTTGCTTATTGTGATAGAAACCTTAAATAGCGCATATCCAAATACACATCAAAATGCTTTCCTCTTGCAAGCTCACACCCGTAAAATGGGTATCGACATCCCACGGTGTAACTTTGATAGTGCATCGCATCATCATTTGTAGATCGGGAACAAAAAAGATCAAGTAAAAGGCAATAGGGACCGCCAAAGAGTCAAGGTGCTTGGAAACCCCAAACATCACAGGCTCGCCCGACAAAGTTGTGTTGCACACATGCAAGCGAGATGTGGTAAATTCCATCAAAATGACCTGGTTTGCATACACCTTGTTCAACCTCTCACAACGCAATGGCTTTTGTATCACTATCACGGCTCATCGGATATACTTGACTCTATGAGCGGATCCATGTGACTAAGCTTGTTGACGATCAGTTGACAGTCATTGCCGCACATCACAGTAGAGTCAATCACTGCTACAACATGCTTGTCAAGAAATACCAGCAGCGGATCAGACAATCGATGTAGTGATACTAACTCAACCCCCATTCACCCCGCAGGTTATCGTATTCAAAAAGGTGATCTTGCATGGATCAAAGTATGTATGATGGCAAGTTGTTGTTTATTCATGTTGTGTGGACATGTCGTTGGCTATGTCAAATAGTGTGTAACTAAAGGATGATATACGACGATGATAAACAGTAGCATGTTGCTCACTTTTCCCCCAAACCAATGCATTGAATCCCAAAGGGTGTTGACCCTATACACACATTGATGAATTCCATCTCCAAAAGGAAAAGATCGCCGGGCGTCTATGTTTATTATAATATCTCGAATGATCTCTATACCATCCTACCAGAAGAAAGCTCGATCAGCATAACCGGAAAGGCAACATTGCATATTAATACAGCACTTACTTTGGCAATTCGAATTTGCGTCCCTTGAGAACTCTGCGAAATGAAGCAACATGATGATGAGATTCTCTCTTCTTCTCCAAGTTTCCCAAATGTCAATACATACCTGGTATAGTAAATGTAAAAGAAATCACTGTAAAGGAGTGTTTGTACAATGCCAGCTACCCATGCAACCCAATCGACATGGCCTTCGTTGATGTATCGGTAGATCCAGTTGACGAGGTACAAGGCACGGTATCCACCCAAAGCAAACAAGTAATGTGTTGTGATTGTCTCGGCTTCACCGGTACGTTGAAGCATGAATAATTGCGGAAGAATAGCGACCGATTCGAGCCAGATCGAGAATGTCCAAAGCACCTATGATGATGGGGGTATGGTCAACAACGTGCCTATCCCATCCATAGATCATTATGCAACATGATCCTACCTCCAAAACCGAGTAATCAAACGTAGTCAACAATGCAAATACAGCAGCACCACCTAACAAGTATTCCACCCGGAACGTGTCGAGATTGGCGTCATAAGTGGCCTTGAACTTGACTTGCATGAGGTACACAATGTACAAGGACGTTGCAATAAAAAAGATCTTCATACACGAATTGTAGAGCGAATGCCATACGCCAAACAAGTCCAAATAGCGTGTCAAAAAGACAACCGAATACAGTAGCTGTGATTTGAATGAGATGCCTAAGGCAAGATGGGCAGAGTTTCAGTCATGGTCGCGTGTGTGCTGCCTCGAGAGAAGGGGGCGAGGAAACGCTCTTACCGACACAGGAACGTGAGGTTTTGATTTTATGCAAGAGAATAAAGATAGATGCCAGGTGCATCAAGTCTGCAATGAGTCGAAACACATTCATGGCCATTTATGAGTGGGAAACAGAACAATAGAGTAAGGTGTGTATGTATGTTGGATGGAGAAAGAGCGCGCTCTACATACGTGGTAGCACATGAAGCCATCTCGATCATTTAAGGCTACGCTATGCCACAAAGAACAAGCGCATTAATATACAATCTTGGTCTAGACAACAAGCCTATACCACACTCACACACACGTATCCTTGTAGAATGCATCCAGTCATTCAACATCATCATGTTTAAAGCGTCTTGCATATGTCTATAACATGAAGAGGACGAAGTCCCAAAATTACGTCTCCATAGCAACCACCGCACCAAGCCTTCTTGGCAATGCCACGAATCACAACTCATCAAATTGATGGAAAGACATACATGCACTCTACTATATAGCAATCATCATTTCATATAACTCAAATGGCCATCCATGGTATAAAAGAAACAAGATCCTATTACTGCTGCCGAGAATAAAAGCGTTGTTGTTGTCAAGTACCCATATGAGTACAAAGGAAAATGGATTACGAGTGTGCTACAAATTAAGAGTCAATCTAGTTTATACATCCATTTTATGTGAATTCAATATGCAGAGAACGATGAGCATGGTATATTGGATGATAATAGAGGCATTTAATATGGATGATGTGTGTGTGGGCGGACGACTACTTTGCTGAGATTCAATCACAAGGCCGGCTCGCAGACGAAGGGTGATCCGAGCAGTTCGCAGGGGAATCTACACCTCCCTCCTTTCGACAACGGCTTACTGCAATGGTAAGTGTGGATAGCCAATATGGCGAAGAGTGGTCAGGATGTGATGGATGTAGTTGGATGGATGGATGATTAGATGTAAAAAAATGAATGGATGCATCTGGATGAGGATGTATGGATGATAGGAGTGTGGATGTGAATAGGTGGGAGTGAAGCAGTGATAGGGGCTCTCTCTCTCTCAATACCAGCTCTATTTTGGTGGAAACAGCGCTCAATGGACGACATGGATAAGGACATGCCCACTAATGCATGCATTTAATAGGGTATCGATCTTAAGAACCACCACGTCAAGAAGTCCAACAGAACGGCTCCCAAGTCCGAGAACGTTTACCAACTTCTCTTGGTCAAGGTACTCTACATACGAATATACAAATAGGATATCAACTTACACAGGGGGTGATAATAGCTCTACCGTTTCCTTGCTCGCCGTACCGATGCTGACTTCAACAAGGTCGTCTTGAAGCGTCTCTTTATGTCTCGTATCCACCGTCCTTCTGTCACTGTTTCTCGTCTCGTCAAGAACAACCAAGAAGGCAAGACTTTGGTTGTCGTTGGTAACGTCACTGACGACTCCCGTCTCCTTGACTTGCCCAAGCTCTCTGTTGCCGCTCTTCGCGTCACCAAGACTGCTCGTGCTCGTATCCTCAAGGCTGGTGGTGAGATCTTGACTTTGGATCAACTCGCTCTTCGTGCTCCCACTGGTTCCAACACTGTGTTGCTTCGTGGTGCCAAGGTATGTTGTTGTTGTTGTTGTTGTCTTTTAAATGGGAAGAGGCATGGATATTGATTGTTTCCATTATTATAGAACTCCCGTGAAGCTGTCAAGCACTTTGGTATGGGTCCCCACAAGAACAAGAAGCCCTATGTCCGTAGCAAGGGCCGCAAGTTCGAGAAGGCTCGTGGTAAGCGTGCCAGCCGTGGTTTCAAGGTCTAAATGTCTCGAGATGCCCAATAAACGAGTCGTTTTCTTTCTTACAAGTCATTTATTGCATTTTAATGTGTATAACTGAGGATAATGAAATGTGCCAAAAGTGAGCGCTATTTATTTCTTGGCCTTCTTCTTGCTAGGCTCTTCGTCTATTATACCATCATAAGTATGTTCCAGCACTGGGATCAACTTTTGTAGTTCTTTTACCTTCTTCATCCTCATCGGATTCTCCAAGGCTGTATTCCTTGCCCTCCTCGTCATCTTCTTCCTCATCATCGTCAACATTGAAATAGCTAAAGCATTGGTGGTTAGTACTCATGGTTTGCATAATCTAGGAGGCGGGGAAGAGAAATACTCACTCCATAGCGTTGACAAAGATGTCATCACTATAAAAATGGGGTTGCATGATTAGCTTGCATTATCACAATATTTCATTGCCTCAGACTTACGCAAGAATCTTGCCCATGATGAGATCATCATTGGTGTACCAATCCAAAAGGGAAGTATTGAAATCATCATCATCCTCATCATCGTCAGCCTTACGCTTGTTGCTCTTCTTGGGTTCCTAAAGCATTGTTCAATTTCATGCTTGGGCTACTTCCATTGTCCTAAAGCTTACCCTGCCAGGATGGTAATCAATGGTGCTCTTGCTAATAACCTCGCCTTGGTTGTCATCATCAACAATGAATTCCTAAAAAGAGAAATCAATATCCACGCGCTTGCCATTCCATCATTCTGCTAACCTTGGTCAAGGTTTCGTTCTTGAAGACATCATTCTTCTTGTAGGTCTATATCACCACCACGCAATCAGTAACGTTGTATGCTACTTTTACAGGGATTTTGTCTACTTACAGCAATGACCTTGCGGTAATCGGGGCGCTTTTCATCGAACTCAACGTGGAAATCCACAAGGTTGCCCAAAGCCTATGTTCCCTTGCATAGTCAATGTATGATCTAGTGTCCATCCATCCACCCTTTTTCAAAAGTACCTCGATATCATTCTCATGCTCCATCATAAAAGGAGCGTTCTCAATCTAATGCAATGTTTACATGAATACATGGCTCTTGTGTATGCAAGGGTTGTTGTATGCTACTCACGACGCGAGTCCAAAAGTTGGGAATCTGCTTGACAATGTCACGTCTCTTGTTCCAGATGGGGGCCATTTTATTGCGCATGTGGGCTTGAAGCTCGCGCTCAGTCTTTTCAGTCTCTTCTTGGAGTTCGACAAGTTGCTTGTTGATAGCTTCTTCAGAGGACATGGTTATTATTGTAAAAGAAAATGATAAAGTGTGAGTTAAACGCGCTGTCTTTTTTTTCTCCCTCCTCGTGATTCATGCGAGACGGCGGTCACGGTTTAAGAGTTGATGGAGGCTTTGCTCCCTAGCACTTGTGTTACAACCGATGCCTTTTACGGGAGGGGATTTAGGGTGTCCATTGTCTTTGGAACAGCATCAATGATCAAGAAACATTGCCTTTGTTATCCAACAACTTGACATGGATTTTTAAAATACGACGACATGGATTCATTGCTGATCACTTGGCTATTTTCTCCCTAGCCGCGTCGTTTAGTATACTAGTAATAGCTGATGATCATGCTCCTCCTCCTCCTCACCCTATTCAGCAATGTCAACAATGATGATCGTCACAACCTACATCAACACTGGTGGTTGTAGAATCCATTGTTCCTCATTTTCTAAATGACAAGACATAGAAAAAAGAGTCCTGTTGCGTGACACGAGCAATTGCAAACATGTTGGATGACTAAGTTGGTTGGCCCATAATAACGCGTCGTCCTGGGACATTGACTAAACATACGGCTTTACTCACGAAAGATAGCAAGCAGCTTGGCGGTCGTGCCACCCGAAGCACGCATAAACTAAACCATATATAGAATAGACTTCCAATAGCCAACTTGATTGAGTTTGAGAAAGAATGAATTGGGGCAACAGCGCTGCATCGAGATAAAGCTGTCAATGTTACCAGGTATAACACACATGCATGGTGTTGGTATCATCATGGATGTCGTGATTATCTATGGTGGATCATTCATGAATGGCTTGAGGCATCGTCATTATAATAAACTAGTTGTCGGAGGTGCAAACTGACCTCATCCTTATCCTATTTTTTGGTCGCGTAAAAGACGCAATTTATGAATGTGCATCCACGTCGTCGGCTATACCACCGCTCACACACATATACACCCCATGCTGCAACCGCCGCTGTCTCATCAAAGCGATTCTCTTAGCGTGCCATGATGAGCAAATTTTTGATGAATGATAGGGCCAGCAGGTGATGTAATGTGTTTCACTTGGTTGCCAAGCTATATTAGTAGAAACCAAAGGGGATCGGCGATCGGTTATCACACATCAATTTCTTACACACACCTCTTGAAATACGAGTATTTCTGCCACAGCCGAAACATTCGAATCTCCGCCATTGCAGGCTGTTTTGGGTAACATTTGCATTTACATATCCATATCTTCAAGTGGCCATGTCGCAGATCTGTGTGTATGGTTAATACCACACCCGGTTTGTCTCATCTTCTTAAGGGGATCTTACACACCTAATAAAGTTCATCATTGTCCAACAAACACTGCTGGGTTACCGAGACCTTACAAACATATTACACACACAGCACACATACACACACACACCTACCTACCATATCTCTCAGCCATTTCCAGGTGTTGGATCCCGATGGTCCAGTAAGAAGCAAAGTAGAATGTATCCTTTCCCCAGTCGGTATGACTTGACGGATATCGAATTATAAGAGATCGGTCTTCCAGGGCGTACACACAGACCTTGAATCATTTTTTTTTCTTTTCTTCTTTCTCTTTACTCGTTGTTCTCGGGCCCAATACTCTCTCTCTCTCTTTTACACTTTCTCCCTTTTTTATTTACATTACCCTTATTAACGCATAATCTCTAATACATAACTGAATATGGGAGAAGGAGGAGCTGCAGGTGCTGGTGATCATGGTGCAGCTTGGGACAGTAAGTAGTAATGATAATGATACCTTTTATTATCTGATTCGATTTGACACGTTGATTCTATTCCATTCCAGGTGGTCGTCGACGATCATCGAGTGCTAGCACCAGTGAAAATGAAAAAGAAAAAATTGAACCAGCACCTCTTTCACGGGCATCAACTCATAGCTCGACCGATGATGAAGGTCCACGTGTGATTCTTGAAGGTGGCATTCCAGCTGAAGTACCACTTGATGCACTTGCAGGTACATGGATACATATACTTATAACAAGACGCACAGACATTGATCCTTTTTCTTTTCTCAGGCCCTGGACTGGTCACCAACTATGTCGAAAATGATCAATTTGATTGGGGTGGTGCCGACGAAGCTGATGAAGAAGAACCAAAGGACAAAAAGGGGAAGGCAGAAAAGAATCAAAACATCATCTTGTGCTTGTCCAAAAATTCCTCTTACATTGCATGGTCTCTACTCTTCCTCTTTGCTCTTATCTTGATCGCCATTACGATCGCCTTGTTTGTGGTGTACGATGGCCGAACTTCCATGGTGTCATACAACTTGCAGCTATGGTTCACATGGGCAACGTTCATGTGGTGCATTAGCATGGCGCTTCAAGTCATTGTTGAACTGGTTCCTTGGGCAATCAAGCGTCTCGTTGGCGTGTTGCGTCCTCATTCGACCGAAGTATTGCGTATGCGACTTGCTGTATGTAAAGCTATATGCGTCCTATTTGGGAAACGTTATCACTGACGACGACAACCGATAGTATTATATGGCCCTTCGACCCTTTATCAAAATGATGCTTGTCTCAGCATGGTCTTGGGGTTCATGGTCATTTATCAGCAGGATGGTGAGCCGTCCCGGAGGTCAAGATATCCCCAACTATGTCAATGTATTCTACAGCATTTGGGAAAGCGTCTTTTTCGCCGCTTTGTTACTTTTTATTGAAAAGTTCATTCTGCAACTGATCGGTAAGTGTGGCCGAGACCCGCTTTGCGAATCTTGATTTGTTGACTTCTTCTGTTTTTAGTTACCTCATTTCACAAGTAAGCGCGCCCGCCGTTGTGTGTGTGTGTGTGTGTGTGTGAAAATGGGAATATCACTAAACTCAATTCGTTCTTTTAGGAAAGCGTATGGTGATCGTATTGCTGTCAACGATCATGCTCTCAAGATCCTTGATCGATTGAAAAAGCCACGTCGTAAAACACCACAGGATTTCCTCAAACGTATTCGCCGCAACAAGAACAATACCACCAGCAAATTTGCTTTTAGTCGATCCAACTCGGCGGATGATGCCGCCGTCCTTTCTTCTACAGAAGCCAACCCGAGCCCCACGCCGAATGGTAATGGAAATGGCATTATGAGCAAAACACCTCCTGCAACTCGATCCATTATGCGTCCTGATGAACAAGGAAAAGGTGGTGGCAATGTCCATTTCCCTTCAAGCAACATGGATACCCTTATTGCCATCCCTGCTCTTGAAAGCCGTTCAGATGATGAAAAAGTGGATCCTGCTACTGAAATTGATCTTGGCAACAAGGAAACATTGGAGCAACCACAACCACAGCAACCCGCCAAATCCGATTTCTTATCCAATTTGACCAAAAAGTTACGTGATGTCAAGAACAACAAGCAGCCAAAACCAAAACCATTCGATCCAACAGCAGCATCCTCTCCACCTGAATCGCCACCTCAATTATCTCGAAACAGCACCTTCATGTCATGGATGTCAACGGCGAGTGATGATCGTTATCTCAATATTCGTGATAAGGCTATGATCCCTGGCAGACTTATTCGTGGTGGTTATCGCAAGTTGCGTTCGACATCACATCAATCGCATGGTGGCTCATCCAATCAAGCAAAGTCACTTGCAAAGCGTATCTACCACAACATCGTTGGCCCCACCGGCAATCGTCCTATCACCGAAATGGACTTGTATCCCTTTTTCCGCACACATCAAGAAGCTGCTGAAGCTTTCCGTATCTTTGATCGAGATGGCAATGGTGATATCAGCAAGTCCGAATTACGTTCAGCATGCGTGCGCATTTATCGTGAACGCAAGAACCTTGCTCGATCCATGCGTGATTTGTCACAGGCTACTGGAAAGCTCGACTTGCTCTTTTTGGTTGTTTTCATTGTCATTTGGGTATGCATCATCACACAACACAACAATTTCCAACCATGGAAACTAATAATAACATCACTGTAGGTCATCATTGTATGTGCTGCTTTTGGTGTCGATGTTGGTACCCAGCTTTTGCCACTTTGGAGTGCTTTCATTGCTGCAAGTTTTGTATTCGGTAACAGTGCCAAAGATGCTTTCGAGGCCATTATCTTTGTGTTTGTCACGGTAAGTCTCGAGCATAATATGAGCACCTACCTAGTACTTAATATGACACATATATAGCATCCGTTTGATGCTGGCGATCGTGTATTCATTGGTGAAGAAAACTGGGTCGTGGAAAATGTTGGTTTATTGATGTCCACATTCATGTAAGTTCAAATGATACTCTTGTTTATAGCTATATGGTACTAAACCACTTTCTCTTTTATAGCAAATGGGATGGATCGGTTGTTTATGCCAAGAATTCTGTGCTTGCTACGCAATACATTATCAATGCTCGTCGTACTGGTCCCACCGGTGAAGTCTTTGGTAAGTCAAGAAAACAAGTCCTAGATTCGAAACCTCTTGTTTGCTTACGCATCATGTGACGCTTTAGATCTCAACATTGCTTTCAACACGCCATCGTGGAAGATTTACCAAATTCGTGATCACATGTGCGAGTTTACCGACCAACGACCTGGTTTGTATCGTGTTGGTGGCACAACAGCCAACTTTGTACTGTTCGAGAACCAGAACCGTATCACTATTACATTCTACTTTGAACACTCGACCAATTGGCAAGATGCGGGTGGTCGCTGGTTACGACACAACACCTTTGTCATGGAGCTTAAGGAAGAATGTGAGCGTTTGGATATCAGCTACACTATGCCTATGCAACCACTTGAAGGCCAAAACCGATACGATGTCCCACCTGAACTTAACAATATGGGTCGCAGACGAGGTTATGGCAATGAAGGTTTGCATATGCGACAAGGATACCACCAAGAAGACGACGATAGTGCTGCTACCATCATGACACCTGCTGGTCCCAGCCGTGATTCCACCATGCCAGGATCTCAGTAACCTCTCACTTACCCCCCCCCGCACCAAAAGCATCTCTTGAATAAACATGTATTTTTATTTGTATATATACAATGGCATTAAGCAGCTTTACATAAACGTATGCATCGCCATTTGGCACACAAACATGAAACTGCTTATATAGATCAATGGCAGTATGTCAATATTGTTAGAGCGCATTAGGAACCTTATCCATTAAACCTAATCTTTTGCTTCGGCAGATGCAATCACAAAGAAAAACCCCCACCTTCAACATTGTACATACACGATGAAACCTCTTCCCATGATTAAAAATCCTTTTCTATTACAATACACGTAAATAAATAATACATTGCCAATTCAAGTACGCCAAATCCATGCGAAAAGGGCGAGTGACGCGAGACATGCCCACCAAAGAATCGTAGTACCAGGTGATGTATGAGCATTCCATAGCAAGAAAGCGTCTGTGCCATTGTCAATGTATCGTGGATCAGGTTCAAAGCCCATTGGAAAGTTTGCGGGTTTCCATAGAGTCGCTTCCCATAGCTGTGATGTATTGCCCCATACACAGTGATCAAGCGCGGTGACACCGGTATTATTGGGAGTGAATGTAAACACGTAGCTGGCCTGTGGATAGATACACCGTGGCTTCATATTCCATAAATGCGCTGCCGATACAATGTAAAACTGATTTGAGCCCGAGTTTTGATTCTTTTTGCGATTGGGCTTGACAATGTCACCCTCCACGTGATTCTCGGCCGTATCAGGATCAAAACGTACATTCGTCCACTTTGGCGTCTCGCTTGGATCGTAGCGCATAAATAACCATTGTTGTTTATCTTGACGAATGGCTTCGTACGTATTCTCATAGCGTCGTTCAAGGCGTTTTTCCAAAGGATGTGGATCGGATGCATTGTACACGCCATGGAAACCAGGGTATATGTCAAAATCAAGGTCGTTGCGCGTGATGTTATCCACCTCGCATTGCCTATACCGTCCTCCATTTTCAGCATTAGTATCCATGCATTTCACCCAACCGATATTACTTACCACATCACGGCAGCATCGTCTAATCCTCGAAGATGATCCCAACGGGTGGATATACATTTGTCATACTATCCTCTGGATTAGATAAAGGATCATCATCATCATCATCATCAATACCTCGACCTACTTTGACTGCATTCAAATGATGGATGCTGTAATTCTTGTCACCATGCCATTTGACGGTCCACATGGTGCCATTAAAGGCTGTTGCATTGGCGCTATCTGCACGTGCCTATCGTATCCATGTTATTTGACATTGTCGATGCGTATCATTGTTGCCCTTCTCATTACCGGCACTATCTGGTTCCCTGAATCGATAAACTGTAGATATTGGCCTGTCTCCACATGTCGAAATGTGTAATAGCCGGTCTAGAGTAATAGGTGAACGATCCAATGCATGCGAATGGGGATAGTGTATTGTACATACAGGAATGTGTGTCGAGTTTTCAATAATCTGAGGACCCGTAATGTGTGCGAGTGGATAGGTACCTTCTCCACCTTCGACAGCTGAAGCGGTCTTAATGAGAACAGCAAGATGCAATAATAAAAGGAATGGAATGGAGGAGGAGGAGAGCATGCAAAAGTGGTAGTATATGAAAAGGAAAAGATGAAGAGTTGCACAAGATTTCTCGGCAGCATGTGCCCACTTAATTTAGCTCCACCACCACACCACCACTACTACTGCTACTAATTACATCACCATGGCAACCGATGTACGTGCGTACACACAAGGATGAATTTATTGCGCTTGGGCATATAAACATGCTTTTACAACTTGGCATCAGCTACAACACCGATCTGCATGGGAAGGCCAACTTTTTGCATCACAGAGGGGCTATGGAATTGAGCGAACTTTTTCGATGCGTCCTTGCCAGCCATCTTGACAAGCACCTTTTTGCCACCAGGGTGCTCGTTAACAAAGTTGGTAACATCAAACACCTTGCCGTCGATAATAATCCAAATATCATCAGCCTTGTTATGCTCAGCAACTTGTTCACTGGTGTAGGTCTTCATTTTGGATATCAAGAGTTGGGGGGAATGGAGGAGAAAGATAATGCAGTAAACGAAGAAAGAAAGGGTGTTGCTGCTGCTATTCGTCCCCCACGTCAAATACCACCCGGCCAATTTCAGTCTCAGATCGTGTATACTCATGTTGCCAATGCGTAAGCACAATTAGGCCTTTACCTCAATAAAAACATGTCAAGGTGATGCATGAGGATGGGTTCATTTGTGTACAGTCTTCGAATCCATGCACACTACAGCTGTATGAAAGGTGAACCATCACATTTCTCACGATGATTATTATTGGAGATCAAGTAAAGAAGCACGCACCAGCATAAGGTGGCATGTTAAATGTTACATGGATATTAATTTTTGGATGGCTGGCAATCATTGTATGCTGTAAACATGGTGACCCTCATTTTGTGTCAAAGTGCATGTCGTATCTTCTACAAAGGTTGATACAGCCACCGTGCTGCTGCTACTGCTGCTGCGGTAGCCATCACAATCATTATTACATCATAGCTAATCATTGATGGTACTATATCACCTTGGCGACAAGTCATGTCAAAAAGCGCGTGAGAAACAAATACTTTATTGGTCGCCTAGCATAAATCTGTTGGAAGGATCATGTGACGATTCTCGACTATTCGACTGCATCAGCTCATGTCTCAGCTCATCGGCGTGTGAACAACCGTGAGCGTGAGGATCCAACCCAGGAAATAAACCAGTGACAGCTTCAGCAAATGCCGATGGTGAAGATGTACGTTGTTGTTGTTGAGAAGGAGTAGCGGCTGGTGAGGGTGGTGCTTCGGTTGAAGAACGTTGTGAGGGTGAAGTTGCTGTTGCTGTTGCTGCTGCTGCTGCTGGTTCACTGCTACGACGACGTTGTACGGCTCTTTTATCGCGTGCTTCTTTGACAGCATCCTTGACGAAGCCTGCGACATCTTTTACATAGCCCACCACACCTAATTGTTCAGGCGATAGACTATGGCTTGCCAATTTGCTTCGATCCTTTTCTTCTTGAGTCATCAAGTCTTCACGAGGAATGGTGTGCGTGTGATCGTAAGGTCTTTGTTCGGGTGCCAATGCCATTTGCACAGGCAAATGTTCAGGCATTATATCATCGTTTGCTTGATCATTATCAGGTATCGCCATGGGTGAACCAGGTTGCATCTTGTTTTGTGATAAAAGGGAGAAAGAAGTGTAGTTGTCGGGTGATAGCGGACCATTGTCGTTTTTGCATAACAGACCCCCGCTCAAAAGGAAATTTGTCATACCACTTTTATACACACACACACACATACGCACCCTATACATACATCACCCACTCAATCAAGCCTTTTATCACATCACTTTTTACACTCAATGACTTGGATCTAGAAACGAAATGGCGTGGTTGAATTCAATGCGTTAACAAACAGTTGCCATGATGTTCTTCCATTCACCATGGTCGTTTTTGCTCAGCCCACCAATGACATCCAAGCTCGTACAAAAGACAATGGGTCTCGCCACGTGGCGATTGTGGCCAGTATTTGGGATTAAGCGAAACTCATCTGTCGTACGACCAGCAGTGCAAGTGTTGAGTCAAAAAAGTCAAGACAGGTGATCCATGATTGTGCAACGATGAGAAAAAACAAATTCTTTTGAAGAGTAAACTATGAGTTATATGCTACAAAGGGCGGTTGATGAATGGGTGTAGATAGATAAAGAGAATCAATGCTACAAATCTTTCTTCTAATGGTGGTGGGATCTTTGGGGTATGCTATGTTGTGTATGTGTCTACAGCTCATCAGAGTATTAATGTTATTGTGTGGAAACGTATGCTGGATGTGGTGCATCAGGTAAGCTCTCCACCACAGCATTACGACGTCGAAGAGCGTAAACGGGAAGATCGATGGTATCGCCGTCATACAAGGTCAAGGTGGCTGTTGCATGAGGTGTGTGTTGAAGCCATTGATTTACGGAAGCAATAGAAAGCGACTCGGTGGCAGATGCAAGTAGTGTGCCATTGTTATCATGGATGGTGTATCCATCAACGGGTGTGCAAGGATGAATAGAGGGAGAATTGCTATAGTCGGCCATGTTGTGTTGAAAAAGAGTAAAGAAAGGAAAGATTATTAAGGGGGGAGAAAAAGGAACCAAGCGATGCATTGTTTAAAAAGAATGAAATCGGACTCTGTGTGGCTTTTTCTTTTCTCGCTCACACTCACACCATGGTTCATGCGTTGCGTTGCTCAAGTTTTACCATTTTAGCACAAGGTCACCTGTTTCAACTCACTCTTCCCCAAAGTCCAATAACGTCATTGCTTTGCTACAAAAATGGGTGGGACGATAAGCGGTGCAGCATGTCAAGTGCTGGCTGGGCTTGTATCTCAACAAGCTCAGCAGCATATTAAAAGAGGTATGTGACGGATCCATATGTATGCATGCAAAACATCGAGCTGTGTTTTGTTTGGTGCAACCCAGGTGACCAATCGACCAAACATGTCTCGAGCGTGTTTGTGTATATGTCCAAACAAAGACCACAACATGGACAATGAGAAAATTGCAGCCATTCTTTATTCAAAAAAGCCAAGAATAAACGATCTACTTTGCTCGAGTAAGATGATAGGATTCGTTTCCTTTTTAGCATTTACATACCAGATTAGCAATGACACGGACTTGCCACCATTTAGAGATGACTTGTGTTCCCTTGCCGATCTCCCTCCCAAAAGTCATCCCATTGGTACAATACATGACACATCACCAATCAGCGATTTCTCCATCCTGGAACCTGCATAAACATGATCGGATGAATAGTTTTCTTTTATTGTTTGGGGGATATGATACATTCAAGTTAAATTTTTAGATACAGTGAATGTGGAAGATTTAGTTAAGCGTGAATAAGGAGGATGATGCGTCTTGGTTGTTGTCATTGTCATTATTATCGTATAGAGATGGCAAGCGGTGGTGGTAGTGACGAACAAAATGTTGATCAAGATTGAAGCTATTGTTGGCAGTGGTGGAGCGACAAATGGTAGCGCAACGGGCAATGTCGAGCCAAAAGAGGGAAAATAAGGATGCATCATTTGCAAGTTCAATAATACGCATAGCGTCTGTGCGATCGTAAGCAACACCGAGACAAATTTCAGTAATGTTGGGTAAGGATTGAAGTAGGTGAAGGACAGCGTTAGGAGATACATCAGGTTCAAGTCCACTGATATTGAGAACCTTCAAGCATGATTGGGAGGTGTCAATGGTATCATCAATCCAAGGAGCAAGGGCACGTTCAGTGAGAAGACGACATCCAGAAATATCAAGCAAGCGTAAATGAGGACAATGCAAGATGAATGTTTGAATAACTTGATCAGTGACGGCAAATTGATGGACCAGGGCAAGATGCTCGAGTACTCGACAATGTTTGGCTAGTTGCATAAATCCATTCTCGGCTACAAGATTGCATTCGCTCAAATCGAGATGTACAAGTGTATCCGCTATTGCTGGTGCTAATAATTGCAAAGGTTCGGCAGTGAGTGTTGCAACGTCTCGCATACGTAAACGGCTCAAACGACCCATTGTGGTAGTGGTTGGCCTTGTAGAAAGAGCTGTACAGAAAAGACGTAATCGATCAGCTGAAAGTGGATCCGCACAATGTTCGAGACCAAGATCATCAAGTTGACGACACTGTTGGATTGATTGTAGCACGCGATCACTGATATCTGTAAGCCGTATACAACGTAAAGTATCGGCATGCCGTTCAATGACTGTAGCAAGTGTATCATGTGCAATCTTTCCACAACCATAAAGAACAAGTGTCTCAAGGCGAGGTGACATTACCAATAAGGGTCGAATGGCTTCTGTGGATAAGCAATAACATAGAGAAAGATCGACATGACGTAAACGTGGTGCACTGGTAAGGATTTGACGCACAGCATGATCTTGAGCGGCTGCATAAGAGAGATCGAGTCTCGTAAGGCGTGGAAATTGAAAGACATCGAAAAAGTGTCTTTCCAAAGGCTGTAAATCCTTGTCGTATGGGCACCATCCAAAATGCGTGACGAATTGACGATATTCATAAAAAGATGCTCGTTTACTGCCATGTCGCCCTTCCAAAGCTTGCCTGATTCGACGTAGTGTTAGATGGGTCCTTGGTTGCAGTGTTCGCCAAATCCTTCCACACGCGGCATCAAATAATACCCGGCAAGTGAATGCCACAGCAAGTAGATCTTCAGGGTCAATGAGATCAACCACCAGATGGGCAATCTCGGGAATGAGGAGTGGGCAACAAGGAGGAGAAGAGGCTGTTGCTGCTGCTGCTGCTGTTGTTGTTGTGTAAAGGGTTGTCATGAAAGAACGCTTGGCCTTGGAGCACTCGAATATCGGCACCCATGGAAAGCTCGAGGCTAAAAAGGATTGTCGTGCGTGTCCACAGAATAAAGAAAAACAAGTGAAAAAGGTAACTTGTTGCTGCTCCAAAAAATGAGGGGTGGAAAAGAGAGAGTCGTCCCCTGCTGTATCACCCACACTGCATATCCACTTTTACACATACACAAACTATCATACTTTGAGCCCTATCATTCACTACAACTATTAACCTCACCACCATCCCTTCCATCATCATCATCATCACCATTACCACCATAACAACAGCATAGATACATCCTTTCATTAACATTGTCCATCGTCTGAATAATACATCAAGAGCCACCCACCACATGATCCTCCTCTTTTGATGCATCTGGTGCACCCACCACTTTCCGAGATCGTCCCTTGTCAATCCCCCACTTTAGAGTTTAACGACATTATCGTAACAACAACTACTGCTCACTCTCTCACACATGGCTTACACAATCCTTTGTCATCCTCCATCATATGCTCACGTATGCGGTGACAGCAATCAATTCGATGATGCTAAGTACCCCTTCGTTTATGCGTATTGGGCCCTCATAGATAACCATGTAGTGGAAGTATGCTATGTAAAATCAGTGATTGTGTGTGTACATAATGCTATTCGTCATTGTAGTCATTTGAGTCACCTGGATTCGTCATTACCACCACCGCTATGGGTATCGCTGCAGGTATTTGGCATTAGCCAAGTCGAACTCATTGATCATGCGCGTGACAAGCTCGTAGATAGCTTAGAAGATATGCCATGTTAATAAAACTTTGGTGCAAAGTACTTTCTATAATGGTGGAATTGCTTGGCTTAAAAGGACAACGACATTGCTGTACATCACATTACCCCATCATAAGAGAAAGATAAACTTGGGTACTGTATTCGATATTCTTCTATCAAGCTACTGTTATCATCATCCAATGATAACCACGTTACTACTTTTGCTGCTGTTAGTAGCGTTTGATGAGTAATCCATACGAAGGATTTATTATAACGATGGCTTTGGTTGCCATGGCATTTATGCAATTACGGTCGTGCTAGCGTAGTATACACGATACATGGGGATGTAGTTTTATAACGCCTCGTAGTTTTATATGATGCACACTCGCTGTTTGAAGCGCTGTTTGGGGGGTCTTTATGCAATTGAAGATGTGGTAACACAGGCTCTAAGAGATGAATAAGCTCTTTCTCGGTACCCTGCAGATAAAAAGCCCTCATTGCGTTTGTTATCAACACCTTATATCAAAAGATTGTGTATTGAGAAATTGCTCTTTTTACTACTGCAACAAAAATCGGTATAGCATCGTTCATTATATGTACTCTGAAAAAAGGATTGGAATTGGGGTCATAATATTAAAAAGGAGAGGTCTACCAAGGTATATAGGGAAAAGCATGTAATAGAATAAAAAGGGAAAAAGAGAGCCATTATTCACGGCCTAGATCAGCATAGCACTTGTCACAGACACGGTGATGCTGTGAAGCCAACACTTGTAGTGATTCGAATGGACCTGTGGGATCTTGAAGAATCTCGGATGGGTTGAGATAGGTACGTGAAGAAGAGCATTTATCGCAAACAACGAGACCACAACGACGACAATGATGACGACGATTGATCAAGCCAAATCGACGTGCACAACGACGACATTCTTTGACGTTGACATCAGGTTCCCAATTGTACGCACGTGGTCCACTTTTTTGGTCAAATGGCAAGTTGGGTGACACTTCGGAACTGCTACCACCGAAATCCATATCCAATGCCATGGTGGTTGAGGCGATGGTTGCTTCGATGCGCTCTGATGTTGGTAAAGCACTATCTCGACTCCAGGGATTGGTATCCAAATCATTGGCCGATTGCACAAAGCCATCCTCCTCATCTTCCTGCGTGCTGTTATTGTCACTGTTGCGTTTGATGAATCCTAATTCACGAGCCAGCTCCGCATTGTGATGCACCGGTGCGACTGGGGTTGAGAGTTGAGCTCCTAATTGTGCGATACGGGTATTGAGAGCATCGATACGAGCAGTAAAAGCAGTGACCAAGATTGTTGCTTGATGCTTTCGATGTTGATTGCTATCAGCTATAAGCATGGTTTGTTAATAACATGATAATAGCCTTTTTGACACATTCCGCCGCTACGTACCTTTCATCCCTGAAAGTAATTGTTGCACCGCTTCTTCGTATACACGTAACTCGCGTGTTAACTCCTGTGGTGTCTTGACAGCATCCTTGTTGTTGTTGCTGTTGCTATCTTCAATGGCATTTTGAACAAGATCTTCGGCTTGTTGTACATAATCCCGTTGCCATGCACCTTGACCTTCTTGAATAAGACGTCCTTTTGCCAAATCCATTCTTCGTTTCATCACACGCACCCATCGTCTTCGACGCACCCATCCATAACCACCTGTAGGTGCCACTGGTGTCCACCGCTCATCAGGCTCATTGAATGATCTTGCATATTGCCATCCAGATGTTGGATCCACGCGAGGGTCGCTATAGTCGACTTGCCAATCCGTCAACCAAAACCACTTTGATTCCTCACTTTCGGATGATCTTGGTAGCATCACTTTGTCCTTTGTAGTTGGCTCTCCTGATGGATGACGTGACCATGGTCCTCGTTGATCATGTTTGGAAGAATTGGGACTGAATTGGGGCCGAGAAAGACCAAGTAATGATGAGGAGCGTTGATTTTCATGCAAAATCACCATGACAGTAACATGGAAATCATAAAGATCATAAGTGGATCCTCCTGGATCTACATACACACACACACACACAAAGTTAGGATGATATCCCATCCACACGTATGCATATAGAATAGACTTACTTTGCGTATGCCACCACTTGTTTTCTGCTTTTTGTAGCATTTCACAAATGTACGCTTCTCCTGATTCACCCGAGGCAGCACTGACATCATAAGCAGCTTCCTGAAAATTGTTCTTGATCAAGGGATTGGCATCCGCTTCCTCCAGCAAATATTCAACCACAGACACATGCCCCTTGGATGCTGCATTGACTATAATAACATGATATGAATACCAATAGCATCCTTTTGAAAAGACTCTACTTACCCAAAGGTGTATGTCCAGTCTTATTTTGCACATCCACACGCGCTCCTCGTTCCACCAGCATTCGTACGATAGGCAAGTTGCCTCTTGAGCATGCATTATGCAAGGCTGTCCAGCCATCCTTGTCCTTGTGATGAAGATTGGCCTTCTTCAACAGTAGATATTGCACCACATGAAAGTAACCACCATACGATGCCTTCAATAAAGGTGTCTAATAGCATACGACTTGTGTAAGTAATGATGCGTCTTCCTATATGGATATGAGCCTCACCTCTCCTTCATGGTCACGGATATCGACATCGGCACCATACTCCTCGATAAGACAACGTACGATCTCGTGATTGCCGCGAGATGCAGCAAAGTGGATAGGACGAAGACCCGTGGAGGCTTGCATTTCGTTGGCGGCATTGGGATGGAGAGCAAGGATTTGCTTGAAGAGGGCAAGATTTCCAGAAGCAGCGATGGCATGCAAGGTTTTCTGGCGCTTTAAAGTTGCCGGTGCGACATGTTTAACAGGAGGAGGAGGCTGTTGTGTTGGAGCCGGTGGATTGATAGGCAACTTGATGAATTTGTTGTGAACATCGCCATAGTACTTGTGGCGTTCACCAGGCACTGGAGGGGTGCAAAAGTCGAGAACAGTGGTTGTCATGAATAAGGGACGACGGAACCGGCTGGCTGCATGTGAGAGCGGATCTACATCGATTCTTTTTTACCACCAGCAACCAGCAACAGCAGCAGAAGCAGCAGCTTGTTGCATGTGTCACGCTGCACAAGGTGAGACCCTATCTTAAACTCACATCATCATCCTCCCACTATAGTGTATCTCTTGATAATATTGTCTATTAGTATCTTGTATATTATTGGGATGATGATAGCAATCATAGTTGATAGGATGATAAAGATGTTCATTTATCATGGAATACATGCTTTCTCCACGTGAGTACCCATGGTCGGTTGGACAAGCGGGAAGTGACAGGATCTGCGCTACGATGCCCTACCTTTTTGTTCCTGGTGGAGAACGAAAGTACAAAACCTAAGATAGTGTTGGTGGGTAAGAAAGGTTCATTCCTATTCTCTCTCTCTCTCTCTCTTTCTTCCTTCTTTCACCCGCTTTCTTGCTTTTCTTCTTTGTGCACCATGGCAGGCACATCGGTATTATCCCTTCCTCCTGATCAGGATCATCATTGTTTGGATATCCCTTTACATTACAACCTTAAGACAGACCCTGCACCATCTCTTCAACAACAGCAGCAGCAGCCGTCTTCGGTCTTGCCGACATCCGATACTACAACAACAACAAGCGTGGGTGGCCTTGACATCATTAATGAACATGACGAAGATGAACAAGACCATGACACTGTTAGACAGCAATATGAAAACATGACCTATGATGATCTATCACGCCGCATGAGTGAAAACTACAAGCAACTCTCATCCATCCTAGGCAATATTGGCTCCGGCATAAAGGAACCACCGACACGGAACAACAGCGACGACGATAACAGCCAAATTCCCAACACAGCAACAACAACAACAGCAACCCCCGCCGCCGACCAAGCTAGGGAGGATGACAACAACGATCTTGAAGATGATGATACCCTTATCCATAGAACTGATTTGGATGATGCAACCAAGCGACGTAAAATGACAAAGTTGTTTTGTCGTGCAGCCACTACTGGGGACGTGGATAAGGTTACTCAGTGGCTAGAAGAGCCCTATCGACCTTTTATTGATATTGATGCACGCGATGAGGATGGCACCACTCCATTGATCTATGCTGCATGTTTTGGTAAAACGACCATTGCTCAAGCACTCTTGAATGCAGGCGCAAAGACCGATGTTCAGGATTCTTGTAAGTGATTGATCCATTCGTGTATGTATGTATGACAAAAGAAATTATTGCTTATATTGTGTGTGTATGTGTCTCTCTATAGATGGATGGTCAGCTCTCATGTGGGCCACCAATAATAACCAAGAAGGCATTGTAAAACTACTCTTGGAGAATGGTGCCTCATCCAACACCCGATCAGCCAAAGGTCGTACGGTCTTTGATTTCCTCAACACAGACAACCAAAAGATTGTTGAAATCCTCGCAACCAACCCACGCGATAGCATGTCTTCCACCTCAAGCATTATGGGCCGTAAAGCGGGTAGCTTATCTTCAACTACATCATCCAATGCTGATGATTGCGATTTTTATTTCCAATCCACCCCTGAAGCCTATGATACATTTATGGCAGAAGAAGCGGATCGTCGTCGCAAGTTGCTTGAGACAGCAATGGCCTTGGCAGATGGTCACAACGTGAATGACTTGGATCATGATTTCTCTGAACATATGGATGATGGGGCTTATGAAGGCGAAGATGACGATAACGACGACGATGATGATTTTGAAAACAATGAATTCCAATGGGATCGATGCTTGCCTGATCAAATGTTTGTGTTTGGTGCCGACAGCTTGCAGTATATTCTTGATACCGTGATCACCAACATTCAGCTCCCTGTACAATCTCGTCAAGAGATTTGTGTTCCTTCCAATGTTATCTTTCTCAGTGCTCGTTTTGCTCATTACTTCTCAAGCGATGATTTGCTTCAAGAGGTGATGAATGGTGCTATGGAACGTATCAGCAAGACAATCAAGGTACGATAAACAAAGAATGCTTTTATGTTTTTTTTCTTCCTTTGCTAACGAAAATTATAGGCCAATGCTCGCAATGTGCATATCTTATCCTTCTGGATCACCAATGCTACACAACTTTTATACTATCTCAAGAAGGATGCAGGTCTTGTCACTGCTACAGCTGAGCATCAGCTGCGTATCTCGGAGCTGATTTCTGAAATTTACGGCATGATTGTATCGGATACCGAACGTCGTCTTATCAAGATCCTTCCTCGTGCCATGCTTCACTATGAGCAAATACCTGGCATGGAAGATGTTAATTTTGCTGATGATTGGCAACGTTTCTTTAGAAGAAGTACACGACGATCGGTGATGATTCCAACGGATGGTGGGATGGCTGTTCAAATGAAAAGAAGCACCAGTACAGGCACTACTGCTACAGCTGCAGCTCTTTCAGCAACCAAAGATGACAACGACACGTGCACGATCATTTCTCCGCAATCGGTTACCAGCTTGTTGACATCCACTCTTTATGTCTTGCAATCATATGATGTGCATCCTACCATCATCATTCAAGCGCTTGCCCAATTCTTCCATTACATGTCATGTGAGCTTTTCAATCGTATTCTCACCAACAAAAAGTTATTGTGTCGATCCAAGGCTTTGCAAATACGCATGAATTTATCTCACGTGGAAGATTGGATCACCCAAGAGCATTTACCTTCAAGCCTTGCAAGCTACCTTGAGCCTACCACCCACTTGTTACAATTGCTACAATGCTTGACTCAGCTGCCTGATCTTGTCAGCTTTATCCACACGGCCAAGAAATTCGATTCCATCAATGCACTCCAAATCAAGCGCTGCGTTACCAATTATCGCTATGAAGTCAATGAACCACGTTTGCCAGATGAAATTGAAAAGTATGCATTACAAATTGCTGAAGACACAATGCGATACAAGCAAGCCCGATCACTCGAGATGGTTAGACGAAGGAGGAGTTTATCCATGTCGCGTAGTCAAAGCCTTTCCATGCAACGCTCTCGTTCACGACGCAATAGCGTATCGAGTTTTGTGGGATCTCTCATATCCACTGTAGGCATCACTACTTCAGCTTCCTTGCCACCCACATCGCTACCCTCTTCACCTACTGAGGAAAAAGAACAAGAAGAACACAAGGATATGGTGGATGAACCCGCTGAAGTGGATGAAGAAGATAAGGCAATTGAAGAAACCAGAGATACCAAGTTTATGTTGCCATTCTCTGTTCCCACCACAGCACATATGGTGAGCATCAATGGATGGGCTCCTGATAGTGCCAAAGGCGAAGAACGATTGGTGACACCTATCATCCCAGATGAATGGATGGAGAAATTGGATAATGCTGCTGCTCCTTGTACTGCAGCTGAGAAGGAAGACAGCGAGTAGTAGTAGTGTATGTGTGTATATATTAAACAACCTTTTGAATGATGGATCATGTTTATTGCTGAAAGATGAGATGAATGAATGGGAGGATAAGAAGGAGGGGGAGCGTACACTATTTCTTTGATTTGGACTTGGATGCTTTGCCACCATAACCAAAGGCTGCACCTTCAAAACCATGTCGTGCCTTCTTTTTCTTGTCACCGCCCTTCTTTGCAGCAGCACCACCCTTTTTGCCACCCTTTTGCATTTGACGGTTCTTGATATTCTCTTCTCTCTTTTTGATCTTGTTCTTTTCATCCATCTTGACCTTTTCTTGACGCTTCCTCCATTCATCAGCACTCTTTTTCTTGCGTTGCTCAGTACGCTTGATGGTCTTTTTGAGAAGCTTGGCATCATCCTTGATCTTTTCACCACTTGCCAACGAAACAGCCTTTTGCCATTGCTCCTTTTCTTCTAATTCAGCAGCCTTGGCAGCATCCTCTTGACGCAACTTTTCAAGCTTCTCCTTCTTGGCTTCGACCTTTTGCAACTGCGTCTTGGCATCGGTAGGACCCTTCTTTTTCTTTTCAGCACCAATGTCGACCTTGCTAAAGAAGAGATCACCATCCATCTTGATAGAATCAGCAGCAGACTTGGGCTACATAGATAGAGATCAGTCATATGTATACTCTTTTGTTATTCAATGGATTTACCTTTTCAGTGGCAGACGACTTGACAAGTTCTTCGGAAGGTGCTGATTTGCCCTTTTCCTTCTTTGCTTTGAGTGCCTTTTTCCGCTCCTCACGCTTCTTTTGTCGCTGAGCAAGAAGATCATCACGGCTGCGAGCTTTGGGTGAATCTGAATCGGGTGCATTTCTCTTTCTCCTCAACTCGGCAATACGTTGCTGAAGTCTGTTTTGAAGCTCGGTAATGTCACTACGCACCATAGGCTTGGCTCCTGACATATCACTGTAATCCACCTTGTCGCCTGATTCCGATGATGATGGTGCTTCTTCTTCATCCTCCTCTTCCACTTGTACTGATCCATTCACTGATGCCTCCTCTTCTTCTTCTTCCTCCTTCTCCTTGGCAGCTTCAGCAGCTTCAGCAGCAGCTTGTTCACTTTGGATCTCGCTGACGGTTTTCATGTTTTCTGGATCAAGCTATAGAACCTTCCTATTAGTAAAACACGATGATAAGAAAATCATCCATTCATTCATTTACCTTCGCCTTCTTTGCCTTTTTGACTTGTTCCTTCACATCAGCCTTTTTCCGCTTGTTGTGCATGTATGGATTATTCATCTCCTATACCCCATATCAGTATACAGTACAATATAGGTGGCGATCGTCTCGGTGTGTGTATGTGTGCTTACAGGATTCTGTGTCTTTTGCGCAATGTAGTATTTTGGGGGTATTAAAGAAAGCATGCTGTCAAAAGCCTTTGCGTGTTCCGCGATCCGATCCTGTGAAAATGACCGATCAGTGACTGTAGACAATAATAAAGAGAGGTTGATTCAATGCGTACGGGAAGTGATTCCAAGAGCTCTAGCTGAACCATGGTCGAATGTGTAGAAGTGTGTTGATAGCGAAGGAAGGGATATGAAAGCGACGAAAATTATTTCAAGCGCCTGCACCAAAAGTTCAGCAACAGCCACATTGGTCAAAGATGCATGTTCATACTCCACCACCACCACCATAGGGTCCTCACTTGTATTCACTTTTCTTGCTATCAACATAAAGTAGCAGTAATTGGATCATCTAATAAAGAGCTCTTTCATATGAAACTACCCATGATCATGTAACTCTTCTACCCACTACTTTGCTCCTTATCATTGCTCATTCACGATTGCCTCTTTGTGATGAACTTGATAACAATGACGACCATGATAATGAAACCAACTTTGCATTAACGATAATCTCAACATGTCTTTAAGATCAAATGGGCAGCTGTGTGTATCAAATTGACTGATTTTAATTTCACTGTGAATATCCTGCAGTCCTACAATAGCCATATGGCAGTGGTTTATATGTCTAGTTTTCGAGAGTGAGGGAGAGACCAAGCTTGTGGGCGTTCTCATTGAGACGGGAAGTGTCGATGGAAGCACCAACGTTGACCTTGACACCGGGACGAAGAGCTTGGGTGTAGGCAACACCAACAACACCAGAGTTGGAGATCTTACCCTTGACGAAGGTGGTCTTGTCGAGAGTGCGCTTGGCACCAACTTCAAGAGCAACGGGGCCGTTAGCCTTAGCATCCCAAGAAGCCTTTCCGGAAACTTCAATGTCACTCTTAACCTTGTGGTAGTAAGAAGCAGCAAAGTTGCCCAAGTTGTTGGTAGCGTGAACAGCAACAGCGTACTCAGCAGCGGAATAACCAACAGCAGCATTGTAACGGCTGATCTATATAGATAAATACACCATCATGAGTTGCTTGCTTCATCCTATTAGATTAATGTATACCATACCTTGCCGTTCAAAACATCGTAGGCAACTTCACCACCGGCAAGGAAACCATCACGACCAACAACAGAGTTGACGCTGAAGAAGGTCTATGTAAATAGGCAACATTAGCTTACTTTTGTCTTTCTCAACCATCCCCTTCTCGTTGTTTTACCTTGAAGACATCCAAAGTAGCAACGGTGTGGACATTGGGTTGCTTGTAAGTGGCATTGATCTTGGCACCCTTTTCGTTGACAGAAGGAAGAAGGGAGGTCAACAACTCGAGCTTAAGACCCTCTGTAATGCAATGAAAACAACCATGTTCAATCACCAATCATCCTTCTTTTCCCCCCAAAAAACAATGATACTTACTGGCGAGGTTGTTCTCGAGCTCAATCTTGCCGTTGAGATGGTTGGAAGTAGTCCAGGCTTCGGTGAAAGCGATGCCCTTGACCTTATCAGAGTACTTGGTCTCGAGATCACCAACAATGATGCCGCTCTTGTTGTCACGTTGACCATTGATCTTGAAAGTCTATTATATATATAGACACACCTCTGTTGTCAGATAACCCATAGATCCAGCATCATTATGTAACACACATACCACACCATTGGGAGCAGTGGTCTTGACCTCAACCTTGACGCTGCCAAAGGGATAATCCTTGGACAAAAGATCCTTGGCAGGCTTGCCGATATCGTTGAAAGCAACTAATCCAAGCACGTGAAAAAGGGTATGTCAGCGTAAACGCGCTCTCGAAATAGTTGTTTGGGGTGGTTGGGCAAAGGGCAAAGGGCAAAGAGTGTACATACCAGGGACAGACATCTACTCGGGCAACATGCGAATGGCGTTGGCAAATGAGTTCCATTGGCTCGAAGCAAAAGCAAGTTGACGATTGGATTACCTTTTAGATGAGAGTTGTATAAGAAAAAGAAAAACGGGTGCGAGGAGATACAATCACAGCCATCTGATCTACCACTTTGTTTTTGCCTAGTGCTGGCTGCTGGCTGCTAAACACGGAGCCTCAAATATGTAGGGGGTGACGACGAAAGTAGTCAAAGGGGTATTGGACGATACTTTATTCCAAAGAACATGAGAGAATAAAATGATAACATTGTTATGCATCCTAATACTCGGCTTCAGCGTCCTCGATTTCAGAGTCACCAAGGGAATCAGAGCCAACTTCTTCATAATCCTTTTCGAGAGCAGCGAGATCCTCACTATTGATATCAACATTGATTAAAATGGGATGATGATGATGAAGATGATGCATTGTACTTACCGAGCTTCAGAGAATTCACCTTCTTCCATACCTTCACCGACATACCAGTGAACAAAGGCACGCTTAGCATACATCAAATCAAACTTGTGATCGAGACGAGCCCAAGCTTCAGCAATGGCAGTGGTGTTGCTAAGCATACAAATGGCACGTTGCACCTTGGCAAGGTCACCACCAGGGACCACAGTAGGAGGCTGATGGTTGATACCGACCTTGAAACCGGTAGGGCACCAATCGACAAATTGGATGGTACGCTTCGTCTTGATAGAAGCAATGGCAGCATTGGTGTCCTTGGGAACAACATCACCACGATAAAGCAAGCAGCAAGCCATGTACTTGCCGTTACGAGGATCACACTTTACCATTTGGTTGTTGGGTTCAAAGCATGAGTAAGTGATTTCAGGAACAGACAATTGCTCGTGGTAAGCCTTAGCAGCAGAGATGATAGGTGCATACGTGACCAAGGGGAAATGAATACGAGGATAAGGCACCAAGTTGGTTTGGAACTCGTTCAAATCCACATTGAGTGAGCCATCAAAACGCAAGGAAGCAGTGATAGAGGAGACGACTTGAGCAATCAAGCGGTTAAGGTTGGCATAAGTGGGGCGTTCAATATCGAGGTTACGACGGCAAATGTCATAAATGGCTTCGTTGTCAACCATGAAAGCACAATCAGAATGCTCCAAGGTGGTGTGGGTGGTGAGGATGGAGTTGTAGGGCTCAACGACAGCAGTGGAGACTTGGGGAGCAGGGTATACAGAGAACTCAAGCTTGGATTTCTTGCCATAATCCACGGACAATCGCTCCATCAACAAGGCACCAAAACCAGAGCCGGTACCACCACCAAACGAGTGGAAGACCAAAAAGCCTTGCAATCCATTGCAGTTATCAGCCAACTTGCGAACACGATCAAGGACAGTGTCAACAAGCTCCTTGCCCACGGTATAATGACCACGTGCGTAGTTGTTGGCGGCATCCTCCTTGCCAGTAATCAATTGCTCCCTACAATAAACAATAGCCATTGATGATTTAAGCATACTATGTCTGCCACAGAAGATCGTGCAGACGTTTTGTGTATATCATTGGACGTGTACTTACGGGTGGTAAAGTGCACGATAGGTACCGGTGCGTACCTCATCGACAACACTAGGTTCCAAATCTGCGAAAACAGTACGTGGCACGTGTTTACCAGAGCTAGTTTCGCTAAAGAAGGTGTCAAAAGAGTGATCCTTGATATCTTGTTCCTCAGGGATACGGCCATCAGGTTGGATGCCATGCTCAAGGCAATACTATTATTCCATACAAAGTATTCAATCATCCATGTTGTTGAAGAAAAAGAGAAAGGAGTGCTACCACTCTTTCTCCTTCCAAAATACTAGTACTTACCAGTTCCCAGCAGGAGTTGGCAATCTGGATACCAGCCTATATATACATACGTATCCACACACGCACACACACGCACCCGCATGCACTGCGTCAGTCTCTTGGGTCGCTTAAGAGAGGAACGATTGTGGCGGCGGGTGGGTAGTTAGGGTGGATTTACCTGGCCGACGTGAAGACTGATGATTTCTCTCATGTTGTTGTTGTAGGTTGTGGTGGGAAGAGTGAAAGTTCAAAGTTAGGGTGAACGTTGAAAGAAAAAGAAAAGCGTAGCACAGCTTCTTTTTAAAGCCAAGGATGCAAGCACTTGTTTCCACACTTTGTCATTTTTGGTAAAGCGCTTTCCGTATTCACTCCTGCTGCAATCCGTCATCCTTTTTTTTCGTGTCATGGTCGGTAAATGAACCACATGTTGCATGAGCACGACTCTTCTCGGCTTCTCGGCTGATTCACAACGATGACACCATGTTGAAAGCCAACTTGCTTCGTGTCTTTTTTACGCTTGCTTTCGGTGTGAAACAGTAACATTCGAAGCATTAAGTACATATTATTATCATCCTATCCTCACATTAGGGGCTCAGTGTTTTGGTTCCCGAGCCTGCTCTCTTTCTCTCTCTCTCATCCCTATCGTAGCACATTCAACATATGCACGATTTCTGCAACGTCGGAAGTAAATGGAATGCAAAAAATATGCCATTACAATATATTACAGTATAGTAGTAGTGTTCTTTTCTTCTACTCTTTTCTATGCTAAAAGATCTACATTCACGCTTCGTAATGCATTGATTGCCCATTCTGGATATTTGCTCTTGTCACCAAAGTAGCCGGCAAAGAATTGCTTAATCCATGCTGGGAATTCGTCTGCTTGGATAGCTTCTCTCATTTCACGCATCAACCGTAGTTGGAAGGCAACATTGTGAATGGATACTAAATGACAGCCCACCGTATCTCGTGTTGTGACCAAATGTACATAGGATCGGGTGTATTCTTTGCATGTGGAGCACTCGCATCCTTCTTCGATTGGACCAAAGTCGTTTGCAAATTTGCCAGACTTGAGCGAGAGTGTGCCTTTCATAGTCAACGCATTGCCGAATCGCTAAGGGAAAAAATGTATACTTAGATCATGTGTCACCATATCATCGTCATTCCCCCTTCAAGCTTTACTTACTGCTGTACGAGTCGGAAAAACGCAATCAAACATGTCAACACCGAGTGCAACACATACAACCAAATCCTCCGCATATCTATAAAATCATCATCCACTTTAGGATCCCCTTTACTCCCATCATCCATTAACAACAACAACAACAACTTACCCTACACCCATACAATAGATTGGCTTGTTCTTTGGCAATAAATCCGTGCAAAGCGAGACACTAATCCAACGTTAGCGATTCACTTTTTGAGTGTGTTGGTGAAAAAGGTAAACTTACATTTGCCAGAATTCATTCTTTTCTTCGCCGCCACTCAGACCACCGACAGCATAACCAGGTGTATCACGTTTGGCCATTTCCTCGACACACTTTTTCCTCAACTCCTTATTCAATCCACCTTGAATGATAGCAAACAAGTTTTGTCGATCGGTATTCTTGTGCGATGCAATACAACGATCAAGCCATCGAATCGATCGCCACATGGCTTCTTCCACACGAGGTCCGGTTGTCAATGAAGAAATCACATCATCGAGTTGCATCATGATGTCGGCACCAATTGAGTTTTGAAGCGACATGGAGTGCTCGGGCGTAAGCATCATCAATGAGCCGTCATGAGGAGAAGCGAATTGTACACCTTCCTAATGAAAAAAGGTTATTGACTACATTCATAACGCACATCCTAATATATACTACCTCTGTGATCTTGGCCAGCTTTAGCAACGAGACCATTTGGAATCCTCCACTATCCTGCATTGACACACATCATTAGTACTATTGTGGCATTGTAACACGAAGAATGACATTATGTACCGTCAAGAGGTTTCTATTCCACTGTTGAAACTTGTGTGCACCTCCAACAAGATCGAGTGTTTCTTGACCAGGTTTAAGTCCCTAATGTCCAAAAGTCAATGACTCTCTCTCCATTGTTGACCGATCGATCCCAATTACCAAGTGGTATGTGTTGTTGAGCATGATTTGACAGTTGAGATCTTCTAGTTGACGAGGTGTCAAGCCCTTCAAAGTGCCCTGAGTGCCCACTGGCATAAAGACTGGAGTATTGACGGGTCCATGTGGCAATGTCAAGATCGATGCACGAGCTTTTGTTGTAGAACACCGAGCAAGCGTTTCAAAAGTGAGAGCACTCTTCATATCGGGTAAAGTGTGTGTGTGAGAGTGTACGTAGGTGTCAAAGAAAAGAGAAGGAAGGAAAGAAAAAAAAGCTCTATCGAATGCAGACAACTTCTTGTTCGCTTTACTCCGCAGCCACCTGTTTCAGGTTGTTCCTGGAACATTGACCACCCCCATTCGCTTTCAGGAACAATAGTATAAAAGACCATTTACATGAACATTTTTAATTATAATTTACAAAAAAAAGCATTACCAATATACAATAACATCTATATGCATGGGAAAGGACCACTTGAATGATATCATTTGACATGTGGTGATGGTGGACTATTGTCATCATTATCCTTGGTGGTGGTGGTGGTGGTGTCATTGTGTTCTTCAGCCGTTGATGATGGTGGAGATTGGGTCGTCGTATCTACAGTCCCATGATCGATGTTTCCATCTTGTTGTTGATGTTGTGTGTCATCGGATGTAGAGGTTGCGGAAGTAGTAGTAATAGGATCATCATCCTTGGATGCATCATCAACGACGTTGTCATCTTTGGTTTCCTTTTGCTGTGATGGTGCTTGATTTGGTATCGAGCTTCCTGAGGATGATGCCGCGTGATCTTCTAAAGCGGTGTTGGGTGTTGTGGCGTCATTCTTTAGATTGCTGTCATTGTTTTTGTCATCATCAGCTGTCTTTGTGGCAACCGAATTTTCAGCTGATCGCTGGCCATTATCATTATCTTGAGTTGAAGTGGCATTCTTCTCCTGTGATTGTTGTGCCGCTGATGGTGCTGGTGCTAATTGTGTGGAAGCTAGGCTGGTTGAAGATGGTGCAGCATTGGCAGCTATTGTGGTATTGGATACGGCGGCAGCAGCAGTAGCAGTAGCAGTGGTAGTGGTATTGGAATGATCACCGCTGTCACTTGTATCGGTGGATGACTTGCGCATTTCTTCTGGTAAACAATCCCACTTACAAATAGGGCACAATGTCGACTTTTGTGTAAGCCATGGATCTTTTGATGAATGAAAAATGTTGTTAGTATTCATTGTTCTTCCATCACATGTATATACGAATCCTCTTACCTATGCATAAAACACAAAATCCATGACCACATCCTAAAATGCGCACCTCTGTTTCACCCTCCTGATAATCCTCTAAGCAAATCGCACAACTTGGATTCTTGACAGTAGCCTCCGTATAATGTGCAATAGGGATCGCATTAACAATGTTGACAGGCAAGGGCTTGCTTTTTCGTCGCATTTGCATGTTGGCTGCATGAGCACTAAGTTGTGCCTCGTATTCTCTTGCTGCTCTACGTTCTCGAATACGCCACCACCGTAAAAATACAAAGCCTGCACAAATTGCTGCATGATAGAATAAGCATGATGATGTTGAGATGACATTAAAGACGATGACCTACCCACGAATAAGATGACCGAGAGGGCGATGACATAAGATAAATAGCCACGAGTAAATACATTAGCATCGTCACCCTCCGATGATTGTAGCCGTATAGGGGAGAATATAAGAGATAATTGCAATAAAGGTCGCTCATCATTGCCAACTGTGGTATTGTCACCAATTAGAGACCGCAAATGATCGCCATAGGTTTTGGGAATGAAGTAGATGCCAATTGGAGGTGTAGTAGTCGTGCCAAAAGTGGTATGTAAATCATTATCCTGCATATGGGTCGCGTTACGATCATCAGGAAGCGGATTGGTGAAAGTGTATTTCTGTTGTGAGATGGTGGTGATTGGATACGGGTTATAATCTGCTGAAGCGGGTCTCTCGTTATCTGATATCACAATGGCTGTAAGGTTGAGATTGATGGCAGATGAAAGCGACCGAGCCATGTAAACCTTTTCACTCCAGTTGCAACCACCACCACGCTCCACCAATCCTATAATCGAAAGGTCTCTTATCGTAGAATAGAACCCGAGATTATCATGATTGAGTGCCGTTAATTGCTCCACTGTTGTATTGGTCGAGTTGCAGCTAGTCGAATAATCCACAAGTATCCTCTATAAACCCACCACCAGCTTCTCGTTAACCAAATGGAATATATAAACAAGTTCAATTGCTTTACCCATGGAGACAATGGTTGTTCATTGAGACCATAAATTGTTTGAAAGTCTCGGGAGATTGCGATAATGTCGTCTTTGGTGCTATTGTCAATAGGCTTCCCTTGAGCGTTGTAGACTCGTGCACCTTCCCAGAATGCTGGGTTATCCGTAGATTGGCAGGATATTGGAATGACGTAGAGTGCCAAGCCGAGCAGCAGCAACGAGATGATTCTCCTCACATATCCATTCATCATGGCCGTGAGTAGTTGTTGTTGTGAGTGAGGAGGTGGATGGATGAGGTGGGGGGAATAAAAAAGAATTCAGTGTTGGGAAAAAGAAAAAAAGAACACAAGCGTGTAACAAAGCCATGGCTTTGCTTGCGACTAACTACTGAACCTGTACAACATGGCACGGGCCGACCAGCGCATAGTTGATCCGATACAAACTGCTATTTAATCCTTCGTGGGAAGAGGCAATGAAAAGGATAAAATGTTTTTTCTCTTCTTACCATTGACACGTGCTCATGTGTGCAGGGCACATGCGCTCCATTGAATGACCTTTTACTTGATGGATCGGCATCATCATTATGCAAACATCCGCATTTGTTTGGTAGATCACATTTGACATTGGCAGCTACTATGTCCTTTTCATATCCTTTTCATGATGGCATATGTGATCCCCCTTATCCTCCTCGTGCATGAAATATACGTACGATTGGTATGACAAGCTTTATTTCAAGGTACCCAAAAAGCATTTTCAGATGATTTGTGGTTACAAAAAGATTGTCTTTGGAAAGCTACTGAGATCCCTCGAGTGATACGTTCACTACTGAAGAAGCTTGGCATGGATGACGTGCATGTATGTATATGACACCACCACCACCACCATCAACGATCCATCCAAAATGACAGGACTTGCTCGGAGCCATTTCAATTGGCATGTGCCTTATGGATTGTATCATTGAACATGAGTTGGGGCATTCAGAGGAAGCAAAAGCAAAACGATGACCAGGTCAAAGTACAAAGGTCCCATTTCCTGTCATATACAAGCTTTGAGCAGTTGCATAACAACGCCTTCTATTGTTGAAATTAATACCTTGTCCAGCAGATTTTTAACTGCGACGACTCCTTTGTTCACACCCATGACATTTGTACACAAGACGGCACTCATTACAGGAGCAACACGAGGCATCGGCTTTGCCATTGCTGAGGCATTTGCCAGTCGTGGAGCAAGCACCATTCTGGTTGGCAGAGATCCCGTTCGCGTGGATACAGCTGAGAAGGCCTTTACAAGCAAATACGGCGAAGGACACCAAGGGCTGACACTAGACGTATCAGACAAGAAAGACATAGAATATAGCATGAAGGTGTGATTAGCGTAAGGCTACTGTGAAGAGGAAGGACGCTTTGTATATACATACATCTAACATGATCGCATCAGAAATTGTTAAAGGATCAGCCGGTTCATTATCTAGTGAATGCTGCAGGTTGGTTGTTATTCCTCCTCCTCCTTTTTTGAATGGCTATGGGTGACATGGATTGATTGTTCTCTTGATATCATTAGGGATTTCACGTGATGGATTGCTTTTGCGAATGAAGGAACAAGATTTGCAAGACACAATGAATACCAACCTCTTTGGGACAATGCGAATGAGCCAACTGGTTACCAAGTCCATGATAAAACGAAAAGGTATGGGCCCCTCAAACAGCTACATTTGTTGTCATCTAATAGGTTACTCTTGTAGAAGGAGGATGCGTTATCAACATTTCCAGCATTGTTGGCTTGCAGGGTAATGTAGGTCAAAGTGTATATGGTGCTTCTAAAGCGGGCATTATTGGTAAGTGGTGAAGGCGACAATGTCGTCAAGAGATAGGGGCTCATCCACAATCCATAGGCTTTACAAAATCACTGGCCAAAGAGCTTGGACCTTCCCAGATTCGCGTGAATGCCATTGCTCCAGGATACATCGAAACCGATATGACAGCTGGTAAAGACACAGGCTTTTAATGGAAGGAACAAGGCAATGTATTAACGCTGATGGGGATATCAAGGGCTGTTGTCATCACCAGAAAAGAAGCAAGCGCTTATTGATTCTATACCTTTGCGACGGCTTGGTCATGTGGATGATGTTGCCGAAGCTGCCATTTTTCTAGCACGGTGCAAGTATATGAATGGAGAGGTATGTATGATAGGGAGGATCACGGGTAAACTTTTACTTACAGAGGATCCCCTTTGTGGTAGGTTTTAAGCATTGACGGTGGATTGACGTTATGATAAAAACCCAGCTTACGAGGAAATATGATATCATGGAAGGTCGTAAAAGGATCAAAAAAGGAGCTGTTTATTATTTGATGATATACGCTAGAAAGTCGAGAAATACAATGGTTTGTTCTCATGGTGACAATAAAGGCCATCGTTGTTTAGAGTTTATGCAAAAAGTGGCGCGTTGTACTAAATGAATGGTAATACCCATACCCCCATTTATCGTAGTGGCAACAAAAGTTTCCCCATGTTTAAATTGCCAAGCTGAAGCTCGACTCTTTCTCTTTTCCTTCTTTCTTGTGTGACCGAATATGAGCGATAGCAGTAGCGATAAAGGCAGCAACTCGTTCCTCAGCTATAAAGGTCTTCTCAACTTTCGCGACTTGGGTGTCTCATCGGCCGACAATGCGGATAACAAACGGTATGCAATGACACACATACTATAGCCATTTGACATTCCAACACCATGTGTATAGCTACATCAAAGAAGGCACGATCTTTCGCTCGGCTACACTGGACAACTTGAACGAGAACGACGTACAAGACTTTATTCAACAACACAATATCCGTACGATTATCGATTTACGTACAAGGTATGCATGTGTGTCACTCGCATCTTTCTCAGTCAACATGTTGGCTGACTTCGCATAATCTTAGCCGAGAATGTCGAGGAGAAGCAGCCATCGATAAAAGTTTCCCCACCACTGTGGTCGAGAGTGTAAGTGACCAAAGAAAAGGCATTAGCAGCAGCAGCAGCTGATAGGGTTGCGTAGATGCGTCCTTCCGAGCTGTTGAATCTCGAGCAAAGTCATCCAGAGGTTGTACATCAAGAAGTGGATCCCGCTGCCAAGACTGTCCTACGCAAAAAGTACCGCATCGCTCTCACAGGCAGGAATTTTGAACGTAATGCAGTGTTTATGTCATGCACGCTCCGTCAAAAGAGGTAATTACTTTTATCTGGGGAAAAAGGATATGGCGTATCTGATAATGTCATCCTGTAGTCTGCTGATTTGGTACTTGTTGTCATGCCAACATGATAGAGCCGCCTTGTTGGTTGGACGTGAAGTATTGGCACCCATGGGTGTTGCCAACATGTACAAGCAGTTCCTTGCCCACTGCAATGACGAGATCCTGGAGACCTTGTTGCTATTCACCAATCCTGACAACTACCCAATACAAATCCATTGTACCCAAGGCAAGGATAGAACAGGACTCATCAGCTGCATGCTACTGAGTATGGCGGGTGTACCAGAGGATATCATTGTCAAAGATTACGCAAAAACGCAGGCTGGGCTGGCACCTATCCGCAAAGACATGATCAATGATCTCAAAAGAGTTGGATTATCAGAGGAATTTGCTGATGCACCACCCAAGGTAGGATGTAATAATGTGGATAGCATGGTATGATAAATTGCTGATGTTGTACTTTTTATTAGAACATGCGAGAATTGCTGGATTACTTGGATGCCACCTATGGATCGGTGAAGGGATACCTTGAGAGCATAGGCTTCAATGCTGCATTACAAGAACGTGTCCGGAGTATCATTGCCGAAACCAACTGATGTATTTTAGCTCGCCTTATTTGTTAAGCATTCTTTATTCGGGTCGATTCGGGATATAAAGGGACCCTGAAACTTCAAAGACAACGAAAGAGAGAGCAAATGAGACATATTGTTGTTGGTCGGATACTTTTTTGAATCATGAATGAGCATCCTCTCTATCCATGGATTATCAGCACGAGTTCCATTTTCCAAATCAAGTTTGGTATAGTGCCTTGTGACATTGGATATATAGCAGATGATTTGGAACGGATGTTGTTGTTATTTATATTTTGATGGGATGAGATAATTTGATGATGAGGGGGATGATGTTGTGTCGACGAGGGAAAAGGGTGGTTGGTGGTTGGTGATGATGCAAAGGCGGGGGAGTAGAAGATGAATTTTACAAATGTACTAGATTAATGATGGATGTTGGTAGCATGGGGATGATGACGGGTGGTGCTGCTGGAAGGCTCGTGCGCAAGTACCGTTTTGATCGGATGATAAGGAGAAGAATAAGGCATGGGGGATGTAGCATGATGATGATGATTTGGGCCACCAGCATGACCCATGTATAGGGGTGATCGTGTATTATCATTGGAATAGTCGTTATGGTGATGGTCGTGATGATGACAGGAGGACGAGGTGGATGATAGGCCTGATTGGGATGAAGATAATGAAGGAGTTTCAGATAATTGAACATGCTTTTGTCGAGTGCGATCTCGTTCTTCAAGCAGTTGCCGTGCTTCAGCATCATAATCGCGTGTTGGATCAATTGGCTCTGGCTCTTCTGTCAAGACACCTAACTCTTCGAAAAAGAGCTTGACGTGTGAATGAATGTGGTTGTTCTCATCGATTGATGATTCTTCTGGCATAAGCGGTAGAATCTGGAAGAGGTTCTCTTGGCAGAAAGAGTCATCGATATAATTGCACACCGTGCTGTCGTCTGGATCATCGATATTATTATTGTAGTTGTAATCATCCTCTGGTGCCAAAGTTAGGATTTCAAAACCTGGGATGGACATGATGGTTTGTAGGTTGTGGGTATAATGAGCATATAACAGCGGAAGAGAAAAACAAAAACAGGAAACAACGGGCTGCTTTTATATTTCACGGAAAATCTCGGAAATCATACATGGGCGGTCGTTAAGTGGCGGCAATGTAGTGTAGTCAAAAATGGAAATCGTATGTTTAGAAACCATGTCGTGTGCTTTATGAAATGATGTCGTATCATCATTGCTTCTTGACAGTGAGACTATGATGCATGAAAGAGGCTAAAATGGCAATCTTTTATTATCATTCTTGATACTACCATTCTCTTAACAAGGGCTACGGATCCAATCAAGAAGCCTTCGGAACACTGATCCAATGCTGTTGTATTGTTTCACCTTTGTGATCATGTCAACAACCTTCCGTCTCCTTAATCTTGAACAGCTGTTGCATTATTGTTTTCGCCCAGGCTAAATCATCCAATGATTGCGCAAGCTTGAAGGTGTCCATTTCAATGGTCCATATGCATGCCATCATCCAAACACAGCAGCGTCAGGCACCTCGAAATGCATAAGTCTCTTGAGCATGGTCACCGGTTGTTCTCACCAAAAGAAGATGTTGATGATAAGGGCTTGATACCAATACATCATATCGATATCTGGGGAAGAGCATGTGGACACTGAAATCTGAACGCTTGTTGGAGCTGGTTGCCAAGGCTGATTTGGGGACTTGTTCACAAGGAGCTTCTCGTTCATGTCGCTAATGGAAACCAGAAGGTGATGCTGTTGAGAATGAGCTGCTTCGGAACCATGGTATAGAATCCACCCAACTGCATTGGAGACGTGATTGACATTGCTTGCTTGGTGGGGTGTTGTGGTTGTGGCGCGGCCATGAGGAAGAATATGAGCAGGACCAAGCACTTGGACCATCATCAGGGAAATCGGAGCTATAAGAATAGCCTCATCATCATGCATGATGCAACTCCCATATTAAGTCAACCTTGACGCATTGATCGATTTCACCCTTCCCAATCTATTCCATGTCGCTTCTAGTGCTAGATGAAGTTTGACTTTAATAAACTATGATCGCCATTGTTACACTAGGTTCATGCACTTCCTTTGATGCTATCTTATTTTATTGATGAGAAAACTTTAATAGTCAAATGTGGGCTTGTCATAACCATAAGGTCGTGGGGGATGATCCCAGCTTGATGGGTAGTTGTCAATGCGTGCTACAGGTGCAAGTTGTTTGGTTTCTCCAAATGGGCCTTCTTCAAATGACACAAACAGCTGACCATCAAAGTCCATGTCTTTAGGTCGATTCTTATACCATGCTTGAACGACGATACCAAGTAAGCGGGGGACATCATCTCTTGGAGTGAGGGGTCCAAAGCCAAATTCACGTTCGACTTTTTGTACCAGCTCTGGGGGATAGATACCAACTTCCTTGGAGACACAAAACATGTCGTATGAAGTAAGGCATGCGACGCCAACATAATTGCCACCATGACGTGCACGATCACGGATGCCACATAGCACGGTAGCAGCACCCAATACACCGGTCAACAAATCCGAGATAGGCAATGGAGGAAGCACAGCACCTTCCGCACCCAAACTTTTGCCTTGCACCACAGCACAACCACTAGCCGTATCGGCAATTTGTTGCCAACCAGGACGATGACGATAAGGACCTGTGATTGATGATACCCAATTGGTTTAAGTTTTATCGCATGATGCATCCATGATAAATACAACATACCTTCCATGCCATAGGCGTTTTCATCAATGTAGATGATGCCCTTGGAACCAGCAAGCTCCATTACACGCTCTTTACCAAAGCCAAGTCTCTCCAATGAACCAGGACGATAGCCGTCAATGAACACATCCGCTTCAGCAATAAGACTTTCCAATTGGGCTTTTTGTTCAGGTTGACGAGCATCCAAAGCAACAGTATGTGTACCCGTCGTCAATGTATACTGAAGCAAATTAATGTCTCGCAGGTGTGGTGGATTCACTTTGATCACTTGAGCACCCAATTCAGCTAATGTTCTTCCAATAGTAGGCCCAGCAATGATTCGGACTGCATTTGTAATCATGTTCAGCTCTATGTACATTGTCCAATAAAAGCAACCTTGAACTTACCCATTTCTACCACTCTAATGCCTTCAAGGATACGGTTCTTTTTTGCTGGGGGATATGGCACAGGTCCATTGGCCTTGTTTACTTGCTCGATATTAACCAAAGGCTTATCTTTTAGAGCTTTGCCCTAATAGCAAAAGTATAAGTATATATGCATCCAAGCATTGATGTTGTCTTACCATTTCGGTTGCAAGCCATTCTTCAGGTTCATAACATTTGCTACCGCTGTGACCAAATTTGACCATCATGGCTTCCAATTCATCAGCTGTATGTTGTAATGTCCATTTTTTGATGATCTCATATGCTTCTTCGCGGTTTGCATCCATGTTGCATTCAAGACCAATGTCGCGGAATAGAGCGTGGCAATCGAGATCACCATGTAACTGGAACCATCTACCATCCTTTGTAGGGTAGATCATTGTTGCAGCCTTGTCCATTTCTTTTTCCCAGGCACCCCGTTGCCAATCCACGGGAGGTTTGTCAGCCTTAATTAAAGCTGGCATACCAAGAAAGTAACCAGCATGATCGGTGTTAACGGTGACATGAGATGGCTCACCCCTACACAATAACTTGTCTGAATACGCTATCCCATTGTAAATGTACAATGAAACTTACCCATAACGATCTTGAGCAATTTGACTAGCTACGGCACCAAAGGCTGCCGATGCAGCAGCAGACAAAGCTCCCGATTTCAGAGCACCCGGCTGCACAGGCAAGTCGCTACCTTCAAAGTGGATGTGTGTATCCATATAATCATCAGGGATTTGTAATGCAAGGTTCTTTTCATTCAAAAGCTTAAGCAAACGTCGTGCTTCTTGAGGTACTGGTTCTATTGCCATATTGATGTATTCGTGTGTGTGTAAGTGTATGAGCGAGAGAAAAAAGTGACAAATCAATCTTATATAGCTTGGGATCGTCGCAGTTGATGTGGTTTAATTCCGCCAATAGCATACCCAGCTAGGCTACGGATTAATGATTTTACCTTTTACTCGTGACGGGATATCTTTATGCCATGAAATTACCGAATTCATTCGCATAAAGTTTCCTTCCGCTGACGCATAAGATCTACCAACCATGTCGAATGTTTTATTAATGTCATATCCACCACGAGTAATGTAAATCCCGTGAGATCAAAAAGATGTGTGTTGTCGACGCCATTGTTGTTGTCGGTTTAGGAGCTGTCAACAACTGGTACAATTCATTAGCTATGATGCATTTGTGTGCTACGCACAATAACGTAATCAAATTAGTCATGTGATCTGCATGATGGGATGGGTGAACGAGCATCGCTTCTTCATCCACTGGAGCTTATCTCCTGCCGTATGTCAATAAAAATATCTTACAAGATCCAAATTACAGAAAAGGAACGTGTATCACGACGCTATTGACAAGGTCTAATCATAAAAAAGAGGGTGATGTGTTATGCATCCTACCAAATACAGTCTTTGTTCAAGACACAATGAATCATATCATCCCCTTTCGCTCCCTCTCTTTTTCCTTTATCACAACGTTGACAAGCGGATACATATAACCTGGATTTGCCATACCATCCATCTCTCTATAATACAATGCATCCAAGTGCCACACCACATAGGCTCAAGAAGAAGATCGCTTACACTTAAACATGGTTCGCAATGCAATTTCGTATTCGCTAAAGTAACCCTTTCTTTAATCCAGCTTCATTCACAAGAGGAAGATTGAAAAGTACAACGAACTGCTCCAATGGGGGAGATACATCGATATGGGAAGTCTCTATCCTTGGTCGTGCTTTGTGAAAAAATGGGCGGATGGATGTGAGTTCCTCTTGATGCATGGAGTTGGATGATGATGGTTGGACTTGGTTGACAGGTCACACAAAGGATGAATGATGATAGCTGGCATGGAATAGCGTGTAAAATACGATAATGGATCCACCTTGTTCCTCGTTCAGTATGATAGCTTAAACATCATACTCAAGTTGGCATGCGAACAGGTTCCTTTTCCACACGTTGCATGTATCCATATCCTTCCGTTCCATGTATCAAAGCAATACAACATCCATATCCATATCCTTATCCATTGGAATGCGTATGTATCAAAGCAAGTTGCTACACGTAAATAAAGCTGCTTCCATACAATGGCTATCTGCTGTTCACGTAAAAAAGGCTGCAAGGCAAGTTGCTGCAAGTAAAGAAGACCGATTGAGACAATGAAGACTTTGTTAATGGCAACTGCTGGAATGAATGCTGTTACGTTTGATTGTGGTCGACGAGTGTGCAAGAACGTGTGTTGTAGAAGAGTGACAAGAAGGTTGAGTACACACCATGGAGTTGCCATTCAGTCAAAGCCAATCGGATCAAGGCAGTTGTAGGATTGACATGATGGGTTGAAGCAGGACAATCGTTTGCAGGTGTTAGTCGTACTTGAATGGGGCAACAGTTGAGGATGGGAGGAAGAACAAGATGCGGGAGGAGGAAGAGGTGGAAATTAAATAGGCGGGACACCTCTTGTATAAATGCATGAACACCTGTACATCAAACCTTGATATTGAGATTCCCCCCTCTCGAACCTGAAGTTTTCACGCAAGGTGCTCTGGGACATGCTGATCAACGTTATTCATTTAAAAACCACAGGCTTCATTGTGAAGATTTAAAATGCGGGGCGGCCCAAATGTAGGAGAGGCGATGAACTGCGGGAGCATAAGAGCGGACGGCCCACCGCCCCGAAGTTGCTCACTTCCAACTTGAAAATTAGTCAGGATGGTGCTCCGAGCATGTTGATCAACTTTTTTCTAATAAAAACCTCACGCCTCATTTGAAAATTTGGAATGGGAGCGTCCAAAAGTTTGAAAGACGGAGACATTCGCAGGGTCTGCGATTCATTAATTTTCATGTTTGCTCTTCCAGCGTAGCTCAGTCAAATCGGCTCGGATCAAGATACTTGGATGATGGAAATGCTCGGCTAGAGCAGGAGAATCATTCACATGCATTGGTTTGGGCGAAAATGGTGAATGGGAGGAATGGGCTATTAGCTCGCTATATATGGACTATTGTGGATAGCCATAAAATATAATCCATCAACCTTCCATTGCAATGTGTTACACGAACACGACCCTCTGCATCTTTTTTGCTCTGCCAGGGTCCACCTACTTCACAATGAACAAAGACCACTCTTCATATAGCATCACGCTTACAAACATGTGTTTCGTATCTCCAAAACTTGACAATGAAACGTGGGGTTTTTATTAGAAGGTCATTTCCGTCAACAGCACCTTGTGTGAAAGTTTCATGTTCATCAATGCAAACAGCCCAAAAATATTTTTGGTCGTCGTCGTCGAAGAGGTCGACCCTGGATCCAGTTTGGCTGGTGGCGACATTGCGAAATCTGGGATTGGCAAGCTTGATCGTGAAACTTTCACACAAGGTGCTGTTGGCCAAGCCGAGCGCACATTGTTCTGCCTCCGAAGACCCCACGTTTCATTGTAAAGTTCGGAGATACAGGCATCTTTTATGCCTAGGGCGGGGTGATGCTATAAGGATGGTCTTTGTTTAATGTAAACTAGCTAGACGCTGGAGAGCCAAAGATGCAGAAGGACCTCTTTGTGTAACTCAGCTCAAAAGTCAGGACTTCAGGGACACGGGCGAGCGTACGCAACTCCTCACTTTTATGTCATACAGCTAGCTAACGGCCACTTTTATCCAACCATCGTTAGTGAGATCCGCAGGAATGCTCCCTGCTCTAGACATTCATTTCCATGATTAAAGTAGCTTGATCCGAGCTGATTTGCTGAGTTACGCTCACACAAGATTACATCGGTTGAGCTACATCGAAGCGTGCTCTATGTCCAGAGTGATGTAATCTCTCTTTGACCGCAGCTCAGTCAAATCAGCTCGGATCAACCTACTTTAATCATGGAAATGAAACGTCCAGAGCAGGGGGCATTCCCATGCAGTGGATCTCGCAATGATGATGGTTGATAAAGGTGGCCGTTAGCTAGCAATACATGCCTGTTCCTAGATGATCCATAAAGTAATTATACATTGTCCCTTTCATTCATGCAAGTCCGTAGCTGTGTTACAAGGCACGATGACCCTCTGCATCTTTTGCTCTGCCAGGTCCACCTACTTGACAATGAACAAAGACCACTCTTCATACGTTATCACGCTTACAAACATAAAGGAGCAATACGTAACTGAACGAAGTACAAT